TCCCGGCCGATGCTCCAATGACACTCGCTCGTCGGCGTGCCCCTGACGGGGTGCTGGCGCGGTTGGCGCGGCCGGCGCACTGACCGCGGGAACGCCGCGGCATCCTTTCTCACAGTGGTGGCACCGCGCCGCACCGCGCCTTCCGGCCGGGACGATATTGTGTATTGTCTCCGTTCGGAAGCCCGCGAGGACGCCGCCGTCCACGCCGTCCCACGTCCTCAGGGCAGGCCGATGCGCAACGGCGCTCTGTCCCTCTCGCACCCGCGCGGCGTCCCGTAGGGCCCGTAGGAGTGCGAGCCGGACAGGCGAGGGACGAGGTTGGCGGTGGCCAAGACCACCGCGATTCACGGCGCCACAATGCAGCAAACCAGCACTCCAGTGTCTTGGCGGCAAGTCAAGCCAGCCCCAAGTTTTGACAGCCATTCCCTCGCCGCCTTCCCGGCCCGAGTCCCAGCCGCCTGGCTGGCCAAATCGCCGGCCGCGCTCTAACACTAAGTAGTTTGCAGAGTCGGCGTGAAGCCCGCCGGCCCGGCCGCCACTCACGGACGGGACGAGGACTCTCATCAGAAAGGGGCAGCGCGGCAGCAACATTGGCACGCGGCCAGCCTGCCCGCGGCCCGGCAGACTCATTCCGAGAGTCGCTTTAGTCGCTCTGTCTCTCTCGCACCTGTACGGGACGACCCATGAGTGCGAGAGAGACAGAGCGACGAAAACGACTCTCGGAACGAGTCTGCCGGCCGGCCGATGGACGCCGGGCCATGCATAGTTTCACGCAGTCTACAGAGAACGCGAAGCGCCTCGCAGTGTTCCAAGAGGACGCTCTCCTTGTCGAGCTGCAGCACCGCGTCGCTCTGTCTCCCTCGCACTGATGCGGGGGCCGAGCTCGCCACCGTTATGCGCGCAGCACTTCTCTAGGTCGCCGCGGATCGCTCCGCGCCACCCGCGCCCCGCCCAAGGCCCTGCACGTGTCTGGAGCAGGGCGGCGCTCTGTCTCTCTCACGCCCTTGCGGCTCGCCGGCACGCCCGACGAGTGCGAGAGAGACAGAGCGCTGCGCCGCGCGGGACCGTTAGTGCGTCCGCGGGCTGCAAAGCGCCGCAAAGCACGCCGCGACTCTCTGAGCGCCTCAAGGGACTCCAGCACGCCGACACAGGCATCTGCAGTCGTGGAGCCAACGGCCTCCGTGGCGCAACCGAAAGGTTGCTGGTTCGAGCCCACCCGAGGGAGATCTACAACTTCCATCGTTTCTGCCTCAGCTGTTTAGACTGTTCAATTTGTCCCTTTGTGCACTGCATCGTAGTGAACCACGGCCGGCCAGGTCTAGCCAGTTCCCGGTGACGCAACGCTCGCCTCACCAAAACTCCACGACGCGCACGCTGCCGATATCCGCGGGAAAAGGACAGATCGGACCCGCCGAGTCGCTCCGGGCATCCTGGCCAGATCGTGGCGTCGTCAGGCCCCGCCAGGCCCCGCCAGGCCGTGGGCCAATACAAGTTCGCAATCGATGCACTCACATACGCACACTCACACACTGGCGGCCTGGCAGGCTGGCAACCGGTTCGGCTTGACTAGTCGACTAGCACCATGTTGGGACCGGAGCATCGTAAAACCACATCGCGACCTTGGGCTGCCTTGGGCTTAGCGCTAGGCTGGGCCGGGGCTGGGCTAGCTGCGACCGTGTGGATGCCGGCCTCAGCGGTACCAGTGTACCAGTGCAGCTTGCCAGCCAAAACAGGCCAACTCCAGGCAGGCCACGCCGTCTCACTGTGCGGGACGCCCCATGAGTGCGAGAGAGACAGAGCGACGAGAAGATCCTTCGGAACGAGGCTGGCCGATAGCGAGTCTGCGTCACACCGACGGACGCGTCTTACGCGGCCTTCCGTGAAACTTGAAACATTGGCTGCGGGGCTTTTTACAGTGTCACGCACGCGACCGCGGCCATCGACCCGCCTGACATGCATCCCCCCCCCCTCGTCCGGTACCAAAGTGCTCGGCGACGAATGCTCCTGACTGCAGTGCTGCCTTGCTGTGCTCCCCGCGCTTTGCGAAAGCCGTAAAATCAAAGAAGTGGAAATCCTATTTATACGGCCCGACACGCCTGCCCCCTCTTCTTCTCCTCCTTCGGCACCGCGGGTTGCATCCGGAAAGCCCGCGCGATTCATTCACGTGCGAGGGACAAAAAAAAAAAGATTGGTCCCAGGTGATGTTTTTGTTGACAAGTTGGTCAAATTGGATGATGAGTCAGCCGGTCATAGACGTGCCACGCCACTGTCAAGCGCGTGTCGCTTCTCGGAAACACACCTATCATAATTGCAGAACGATCACGTGCCTGGCCATGGCGTAACTAGTGCGATCGACTGAGACTCTCTAGCCAGAAAATGTACAAAAAAGGTATACTTCTACAACCAATGAAGTGCCTCAACTTTGTTGTGGAATTTTTTAAAAAAGGTATCATCTGCTAAAAACGGCTGGGAGCTTTCGGTGATACCAATTTTTCAATGTCCAAGCTCATGCCGGAAGTTGCTGCGGATTATGGTGACGCAAACCGCCTCGATGCTGGCGATAGTGGAGTCACCGCAGTGTAGCCTCCTGGAGGTATCTGACATGTCGCCCCTCCCTCTCACTCCACCAGCCCCTCCCGACGCATCCCGCGCCCAAACCTGGAACCGATGGCCCGTGTGATGAGAAATCGCGTCTGCGCATGAGTGTGCTTCGAGCTGGACTTCGGTTGGAACGCCTTTCCTCGTGTAGGCTCGGGGGCTCCGGTTTCCGGCTCCACACTGTGACGCGCTGTCTCTGTCGCACGCGCGAGGCGAGAGGCGCAAGGGAGCGAGAGAGAGAGAGAGGGCGACGAAAGCAGTCTTCGGAACGAGCCGGCAGATGAACAGCGGAGTGGCGCTGTGCGTTGAAGGTCTTCTGATGGGGCTTAACTGCGGTGCTGGGGCTGCCTTTGTGAGGGGCCGGGCAGGCCGGGCAGGCCCTCGGCGTCAACACCATGAAGCACGATAGAGCCCCCGCCGCCCCTGCGCCCCGCGCACGGCCTGGCATCCACTGAAAGCGTGGTCCACGCCCCCCCCCCCTTTTTTCCAGTGTAATTACAGGTTGCCACGCGACGAGACGCGCCCAGGGAGGCTTGCTCGCAGTGCAAGTGCACCAGTGCGTTCGTCTCTCTCACTCTCACGGGGCGTCCCGCAGGGTCCGCAGGGTCCGTGGGGGTGCGAGACAGACACAAGGCAAGGGAGCCCTTAGCAGTGCCCCGCCAAACGCCCCCACGGGCCGAGGGCGGCGAGGGCGCTGAGCACACGCGGCTCCACGACCCGTCAGCAGACTCATTCCGAAGAGGCGTTGCGTCGCTGTCTCTCTCGCACCCGCGCGGCGTGCCGCAGGGAACCGCGCGGGTGCGAGAGAGAGCGAGCGACTCTTCGAAACGGCTCGGCGAGGTGCGGCTTCATAATCCTGGCCCGCAGCCCGCACTCGTTGACGTTTAGCCGGCCCGCCCCTCCACGCCTCGCCGGCACTTTGGCAAACAAAATCTACTCAAAATTGGCTGTCGAATTCTAACGCTGCGCAGTGGTATGGCGATGCCGCCCGCTCAGGCCGCGTAACGGACGAACGGGCGGCAGCGGCGGGGCGGGCGGGGCCTAGCACTAGCAGGGCGGTGGGGGCGGGGACGGCGGGGACACCGTGTCGGCCTGCCGGCGTGTTCGGTATTTCCGCTGCGGAAGGGACGCAAAAAGACGGGCAGCCCGGCGACCGTCCCAGTCCCACACTGCTGTGCTAATGGCCCAATCCCCGAAAACGCTGTCAAAAAGCACGGATCCAGCCAGCAAAATAAAGACGCTCCTTTTTGGCGCGCTGCACTGCGAACTGAGTTTATTGCCGCTGCACGCCCTCCCCACTTCTGCTTCCGTTCGGTGCACTCCTCCACGCCACTGCATCTGTGAGGCCGAGGCCTGGGCAGGGCCGGGATCCTCCTCCTCTCATTGAATCCCTCTCGAGCCGCATGGCGTCGCATGGCGGCCAGTGCGGGCTCCAGCAGCCACAGCAGCCTCGCCCCGTCTCTCTCGCACTCGCGGGGCGTTGCGCAGGTGCGAGAGAGACGGGGCGACGAGGCCCAAAGGCAAGGCGGAGGGCGACAACATGTGTCGGCGTGCCCCACGGCCCCACGGCCCGCGTCGGAAGCTGGCGCGGCGGCACAGCGGCACAGCCCACAGCCCAGGACTACCCAGGACCAGCAGGCGTCTCGCTCCAAAGTGGGCAGGGTGCGTGGGCAGGGCAGGGCCGCCAGTGCTCGCTGTCTCTCTCGCACCCATGGGCCGCGGTGGTGCGAGAGAGACAGCACCAAGCGCACCGCCCTAGCGGCCCTGGCCCTAGCCCTACACCGTGAGAAACCTGGTGCTTGCACGGAGCGCGCGGCCGGTGGTCGCAGAGTCGCGACGTGATGGCAGCATCTCGACGGGCATCATCGCCATCCAGGCAGTGCCAGGCAGGCAAGGTGGCGGGGAAACGCAGCGCCACGCCGGAAACTGCTCGCCGGCAGCACTTTCCAAAGCAAACGCCATTTGCGACAGTTTGCCTGCGCTATGCACCGCTCCGCCTGCAGTGCAGCGACGGCTCTGCTAAACGGGCCACTTTCCCACTCGCCTCGTCCCCACGTCCTCGTTTTCGGGGCACGGTCACATGGCGGCGCGGCGGCATGGCGCGGTGGCCGCGGCCAGCGCCGGTTAGCGCCAGTGGGTGCCTCCACTCTCAGCACCCCCCCCCCCCCCCCTTCCCCCGACACCGCGAAGGTCGACGGCGCACTCTGAGAGTCTCGTCTAGCTAGAAAAAGAGTACTGCCTTCCCCTCCCCCAGGTCCCATTCAGTGCAGCCAAGAGCGTCGGAGAGAATTCTTCTACAATCTTCCACCTGACGGAGCCGTTTGCACAGAGACAGCCACGGATTTCTTGAGTAGACACAGGTAGAGAGAGGGCTGGGCTTTGCAGAGTAAATAAGAGAGGGATAATTGTACAGATGGAAAACTTTATTCCCTCTGAAAAATATGTACATGGAACAAAGCTTTGGACACTCTACACAGCCATCATAGTTGGCTACACTGTGAGTATAATGGACATGAACTCTTCTTTCATTCTCATTATTTACTATGTAAAAAAAGTCACAAACCATTCATTCGCAACAACAACAAAAATTGAAAAAAAAAGAAGGCATACCTGATAAAGTGACAATCCACTGATTTGATGATATGATATCCAAAGTTGATACTCAGGAAACTTATCCACCACAACTGTCTTGATCCCATTTCACTCATTCACTCCCAGATTAACACACAAGTTGGTACATTAGCACATCACTGTAGGCTCTGCTGTTACATGCGATACATTGAAAGAAAAATCACTAATCCATATTCAGCAATGGATTTCTTATAAAATTGACACTGTATAAAAACACTATTCAATAGGTCACTGTTAGATAACCAGTTAAAAATCTTCTCGGCTTACACAAAATTAACTATTGTATCATATGTACACATTCACACATATGCATCACTAATAGTAAAAAATATTACACTCAGAACTGTACTTTACAACTCTTTCTATTTAACATAACAGTAAAAATTTTCTAAAAAAAAAAAAAGAATTAACAAAACAAAGGAAAGGGAGAAACAAAGCACCAACACGTCAGCAGTGTCACAAGTCCCACTTAACTCTTCATCTCTACTACATAATTCTGCCACACTGTATACTTAAAAGTAGCAGCACCGGAGCAGAGCAACACTCTGGTACTACATGTAACACCTTCCAATGCAGGACAGAGTAATAGAAGCCCAAACAAAAGAGACTTAAAAGAGTGATTTTGAGCAAACTCTAGAATCAATCCAACTGTAATAATGCACACCCTAAACTTTTCCATAGGCTAAGCTGGAATTTAGTGTTATATAATACTGTGAGTAGTACACATAAATCACATTCATAAGACATAAATGTCCCAAGTAAAACAGACAATGTACTCAAACTATGATTGAGTGTTTGGCACAAAATTTGAATGCCTAACTGATTCCCACCACTGATCTGGGAAGTAAATTTGTGTCTGTGCATTGGAATTGTTGAACTAGAATAAAATGACTATCAGTAGCTCTTGGAGTATTGTAAATGACCTAAGTGGAACTGGACATTGTTCATAATTGATCAAAACAAAGTAACATAATATTAAAAAAAAAAAAAAAACAGAACGAAATGAAACAAAATGCAACATGAAATGCAGGTCCAAGGGGCTGGATGGATGCACAAAAGTTTCCTTCCAATGAATTTAGGATGAAAGTTTTGATATGGGTGATGGCTTTAGAATAAGACTTCAATCTTTATTACTTATTACATATAGTTCAAATTAGATTTTAATTAGTGGTGCAATGTGAAATTCAAATTTACAATCCACACACACATCCAGCATAAAAGTACATACAAAAATTTTGACAATTTCAACATTATTCCTGAGACAATCTGATCACACAGATTAACAGGGCAATCACAGTTTTTCAAATTCTTTTCCCTATCAGCTGGTACAGTTTAGGAAAGAGCCATGCATGGGCTTTAGACAAGCCATCACCCAAAAATTCCAGTAATTACACATCACACAATGCTAAATTGTAAGTCTTTCACATTGGCAATTAAAAAAATATATAGTAGTACCCTAAAACACCTAGATTTTGTATGTATAAAAAACAATTTGTTGCACCAATAGCAAATATACGTTTTATATTTGACCAGAGGATCTTTCTGATATCTATTGAAATAAAGTCAGCACGTGTCCAGTCAACCTGCAGCCTTCTAGAATGCTTGACCTGATAAACATGGCTACATTCAGATATGTCATCAGAATCTAACAATGTACAAAATGAAAGTACATCAGATTAGGCCTAAAACTTAGCCAAGTGGTCTGTTTTGATCTAGAAACAGCACCTTACTCTAAACATTTATGGTCACCGCACCCTGCATCCACTAAAATAACACAGCAACCAATAAAAGAAGCAGTGAAAACTGATCACTGAACAGACTTTGAAAGCAGGGCTAAATTATTGGTAACTTAAGCTGTAGCATTGAACAATCTCAATCAGAAATGGAGCTTCAGATCATTTCAGATTTACAAATATTTACAATATCTGTGACAGACAACATACAAGGCCAAGATGAGAAGGGAGATAAACAATAAAATATCAGACAGGTCCAGCGCTCTCTCTGCAATGGATAGAAGATTTAATTTAATGAAGGACAAACTAGCTGACAGAACCAATGGCTATGGTTGGAATCATACATGAGTATGTCTCACAAAGCAGTAAAAAAATACATTTGTCGAAGTGGTAAAAATACTTGTGCTACACCCACAAAATATTATGATCTATTGCTGAATATAACATGCTCAAACAATGGTTTACAAATGCTGTCACATCGCTCAACCAAAGCAGACTAGGCCAAACACAGTTCCTCTAGGACAAATTTTTAAATAAAATAAATGACACATATTAGAAAAATGAAAGCTCTCAAATTAGAATTAATTCAGTGGAGATAGAGCTGGATCCTCCACACAGGCCAAGATAAAACACTACAATAGCAAATTTAAATTTAATTATTAAAACACATAGAGGCTTTTTGTTTATTTCCCTTGATACATAACAATAGTGTTTTGGTCAGACACAAGGTGCAGGTGCAACATGCTCTTTAGGCTGGCACCTGTACTGAGTACTCTAGTACAGAAGACTGTCAAAAACTGTCATAGATAACACCATTGTTCTTCATAGAATAAGCTGGCACCCAAAAAATGCTGAATTTTAGTTGCCTAATCATCACAACACTATAGCACCGTGCAACAACAATAACTTTTTTTCTCCTTTTCAGGGTTAAAGTTCATTTCGCGCACGATCTCGGCAAACACATCGTTCACGTATGTCCTACTTTTGGCACTCGCTTCGAGAAAAGGGCAACCCCAAATCTGGGCCAAGTGACTGCCTTCTGCCGAAGACACTTCCCTTTGGTGCTCCAGGTCCACCTTGTTGGCCACCAGGAGGATGGGGACCCGCTCCGTGCCCTTCACCCTCGTGATAAGCTCCTTCATGGTCTTGATGTCCTGGAACGTCTGGTGGTTCGTCAGGCTGTACACCACCACGAAGCCTTGGCCGTTTTTGATGTAAAGGTCCCGCATACTGGCGAATTGTTCCGTGCCAGCGGTGTCCAAAATCTCGAGCACGCACGGCGTGTTCTCGACCTCGATCTCTTTCCGATAGAAGTCCTCGATGGTCGGGTCGTACTTCTCCATGAAGCACCCGGAGACAAACTGCACAGTAAGTGCACTTTTCCCCACACCCCCCGACCCAGCACGACCACTTTGAATTCACGCATTTTGGATTTGGAGCTGGGATCACTTTGTTTCACTTAGTCATTCACACGGGCCTGTAATCCAGACGTGCGGCCCTCTTCGTACGAGCACGGGTGTCGCCTCCGTCCTCCGTCACCGAGCAACCCGTCCCGCACTGCACACCACAGCCCGATGTTAGGCGAAACAGTTCGAAAAATAAAAACATTCACTTCGAGAGCGGCTCGAGATGAAAACTTTGATTGTGGCCATCGTTCGCTAAGGCCTCCGGCGGACCGCCATCTTATTCAACTCATGGTTGACCAAAGACTGACGGCACGGATGGATGGAAGGATGGGGAAGGGGGGAGGGGGCGCTCCGCCGACGCCGACAGCTGCCGCACGGTCCGTCGCCAACCCACCAGCTGGAAGATCCCACAGATCTCCAGCGGTTTTTAGAAAAAACATATCGCGGGTGTGGGGCTCAGCCGGTGACATCATTTCATAGTTTAAATAAGATCATATTTTTATACGTGATATCTGCAGCTCAAATTTCCAGTGAGTGGTTCCAGTGGATACTTTTAAGATGCACTCGTTGGCAACGCCACACTAGATGTCAACAAACATGGGGCAGAGATTGCACGCACGTTCAATTTTCACGGGAAATACACTCAGAATCACACGACTGAAATCAAGATTTCCTGATCATAAAAGATAAATATTCACTTCAGTAAGAAGCAGAACTCATCGTTTGAATGGGGACAGACAGTTGGCACCAGCGGAAACGAGGATCGACCTACAGGTTGATTAACACAACATAAGTAACTTTTTTTATTTTGATTGATTGGTGAAGAGTTTGAGCTAAGACATGAGTTTTTATGACCACAGTTATAATCTTATCATGTAGTTAATTACTTTTTTGAAAGTTGATGTTCCTTTTCTATCACTTGAAAAGGTACATTTATTGTCAGTTAGGCCTCTATCTGTTGGTCACATTGCAGAGAGCCAGTAGCTTCCGTAAATGTGATGGTCCCGTTTGACTGTTTATTTCTTGAAATACTTTTTCACAAGACACAGCACTTCCTTGTAAATATTTCCAGTGAACTAATTACCAATAATAACTGTTATTATGGTCATGCAGCCTTCGAAGGATTTGATTTTAGTCCTAAACAGATAACTTTGCTTTCACAATTTTACTAACGTGCTCTGAAACTTGTAACACCTCTTGCCTGCCGCATGGTTCTACCCTTTCGAAGGCTGCTGTTTATTTTTTCACCAATATTCGTCTTTAGGCCGTTAATATTTAAATTCTGTGAGCCACTTCCCTATGTTATTTGTCTTCCAGACGAGCAATGGCTCCCGGTAGACAGTACACAAACCACCCCGATCCTATGGATCTGTGGCTGGAAACTCAAGGGTACTATAGAAAGTCAACTGCCAGGGATGGTTCATGCCTTTTTCGAGCCATGGCTGAGCAAGTAAGTTCCGGACTCTTGGTTTTTTACTGAACTAGACTCGAGGGTTTATTTTCTTGTTTGCAATTTTTTTTTCAGATATATTATACCCAAACATTTCATCTAGGAGTCCGTAAAATGTGTGTGGAGTATATGCGTAATCACTTGGAATTATTTGATGGGGTAAGCTGAACTTCCTACGTATTGATAATCCTTTCTTAAGTCTTTGATTGATTTTAAGTGTGTTTGAGTTAATGTTCACTGATTTCCTGCCTTGCAATTTTTGAACCCTCAGCATCACATAGAAGGTGGCATAGAAAATTACTTAGAGCATCTTCAATGCTCTGTACAATGGGGAAGCCACTTAGAAATTCTAGCCATGTCTCATCTTTACAAGTAATACACGTTTTTCTTTATTTCACATTTTTTAAAAACCTGTCTCCTCTACTGTGGTTTTTATATAAATTGTCTTGTTTTTGAAGGGTTGATATTGTAATCTTCAAAGAAGTAGGAGTTCCTGCTGAGAAAGTAGCTGATACCTGTTATGGTAAAAAAGTAATGTTGTGCTTTTCACATGACCGACACTATGACTCAGTCTATTTAAAAGAGTTCACTAAGATAGCTGGGTTTTGTCAATGTAAGTAAATAATGACTCAGCTCTGTATGACTAACATCTTGCATTAATTAACTTGCTGTTACTTCATGCTCTTTGATTTAGCTCTAGTTTATGAAATGTTGTACAAGAATGTTTTTGGAATGAAGGATGTAGATTTTGCTGTTGACAAGATGTTGCACTACAAGCCACTTCGACACAGAGGAGAACCTGGTTCTGGTGGTTCTCGCAAATTCTTCAGTTACAGTTGTAACAGGTACAGTATCAATCAAGCCAGGTTCACAAAAGTAATTATTTGAGGCAACAAATGTTTCTGTTGCAGTATTCATCTCCAGAGGAAGGGAATACTTGTGGATGCTTTACTTGATGATGGAGAAGTAAATGTCCGAGAATTATTGATGAAAGGAGTAACCCCTTTTCCATACAAAGTAGCAAAATCTCTAGATCCTAACATTTATCGCAATGTTGAATTTGACGTTTGGATAGACTACAGACGAGGCAAGCAAAGGATAATTTATTTTCAATTTGATGGTAAATGGTTTCAATACTAATCACCAGATGTCTGATGCTTGTTGCAGGACTTCGTCTAGGATTCTTTGGTTCCAATAATGAACTGCGTGTTGGAGTGAAATGTCTTGTGAAAATTGAAGAGAACTCCCATGTGGCACATGTACAAGAGATGGCTCCTGATAAGGGTCCTGTTGTTGTGTTTGTAGAAGCTCTTGGTGAGAAATGTACGGTTCCATTTGAAAGTCTAGAACTGCTACCAATTGAACCCCCAACTCACAAACAAGTTTCTTCAAACCAATCCAACCAGCGTAATGCCCCAAATCTGGGACATATGAAGTCATCAGAGAGCTCTGGAAGTAAGTAACATCTGTGAAATTGCTTTGAATGTGCTGGAATTTTGATCATCACAAAGTTCTTTCTGCAGACAACAAGCTACGGAAGGGAAGGACAGAGAGTGACAAGGCAAAAGGTACTTTTGCCAACAATGCACAGCTTGGGTTGTCATCAAATGGACGCAGACGTAATAACTCCAAAAGTGATCAAAGCAGTGTCACTGATATCAGCTGTGACACACTAAATAGATCATGGTAATTACAGCTTTCCTAAACTACTTGTTCAAATTTTTCATGTCCTTTGTTTTCTATGCAGAGTTAACTTTCTTCAAAGTTTTAATTTATTTTTCTTTTTACAATGTTTTTTTAATTTTAATTTTTAGTGGAATGTATCAGGAGGCAAATATGATGAACAGCTTTCCTAACTTTCCCGTTGATGGTTATACTTCTACTGGTGGATATCATCCTTATCAAATCCTTATTCCTGTCAGTCCTCGCCCTGATGATGTGCCCACTCATTGGTTCCCTTCAAGTGATGCAGAAGGTTCTACTGAACTTAGCACATCACCAGCAGGTGCTGGAACTTCTTTACACAAGTATCTACAATTATTTATTCCTTTGCAAACTACCTAATAGGGTGTTCTCCATTTTATGACAGGTGGAGATTTCCACTACTTTACTCAGCCTGCCGAAGCCGCAAGTACATCAACCATGGGAGAAGAAAATGCAGACTCTTCAAAAGATTTGTCCCAGAGTGATTTAACGGACAGTAATGCTAATTACATGCTTGACTTGAATTCACAAGAACATCAAATTAACTTCAATGCACCAAAATCAATCTTGGATGATGGTGCTGACTTGCCCATCTCAGGTAAATTTTTTGCCAATGAATATAGTATTAATAATTATCTATCTATAGATAAGTTCTGAGAAGTAACAGTGGCTTTCATTTATTTTTACCGTAGATATTCAAACTCTTCGTTTTTTCTACAATCTAGGCAATGATGTAAGTTTTCTACGCAACATAAGTATGTATTACCTGTCCACGCCCAACACTTGTTATTTAGTATATTTCTTTATTTCAGGTTTATCGTGCTCAATGTGGTTTGTATGGATGGGGAGGCTACACTCAACCATGTCCTGTAACAGCTCCTTCAACTCCAAATCCCACAGCAATGTGTGCTGGCAAATGTGTATGTGGACCAGTGTGCATAACAACTGTTCCTACTATTCACCGCCTCTTAGGTACAATTATGTTCCTATGCATTCTACTGTCAGTCCTCAAAGGGCTTTCATGCTGAAACCAGAAGGTTGCCGGGCCAAACAATTTGGAGCTTTTTGATTTTATCTTTTTTTTCTTCATGTTTTCTCCAGAACCGACCACACCACCTACTAGTTCAAGGCGTAGAAGGAAAGATAGTGCAAGTGGAGTCCTAGCAGCAAGTGAAGCAGAATCTTTTAGCTCAGGACCTAATTCACAATCAAGCCAAGCTACTTCAACTCCATTAGCTAGTGTGCCTCCACGATTTAGAGGAAAAGGTAAGTCTATTCAATCTTGATACAAGACTAATGGTAATGGTATTTGTTTTGACAAGTGATAAGCTATGAGAGTACTCTCTTGTCTTTCTAGGGAAAAACAAGAAGGATGCTAAAGCTTTTGAAGGACAACCTCTAGTTCATCAACCTACTCTTCAAATTCCTTCAGCTGAGGATCCTGTGAAGAATGAAACTCAAAATAATGGTTCTGTAGGGGAGCTTTCTTCACCTGCAGGTCTACCAGTGTCATTTTCACCACCGTACAGCTATGTTTATTATCCTACTAGCCCTGTGGTGCCATATTCTCCTGTGGAATCTGACCCTTATTTTACACCATTGAGGTTGCAGTTCCCAACTGATTACATTCCGGATGCACCACAATCACCACAGTGTTACTCCCTGAATGGGGACATGAGCATTTATGGTTCTTCTCCTCAATTTTCTATGATGGCCACTTCTCCACATTACCTTGTGCCAGCTTCTCCTGGCATTTATGTCGGCTCTCCACCAGCTTGGGGCCCAATGACACCTTCAACTCCTCAACAGCAGAGCTGATTGACATGTCTCAAATTCTCACTTATGAACGATCTAACAATTCTCAGCTAAATATACACTTCACATGAAGACCTGAGTTTTAGATGCTATGATGACTCATCGGTTAATTGGTGGTGGTTAGAACTCCATTTTTCTCATTTTTTCAACATTGCCAAAGCTATTCTTTAATTTAATACTATGACAAGTTCTTTTTGAAATAGTTGGATTCATGTTTGATTTTCAGTCAAATGTTCATTGATTTGTTTAGATACATACCTGTTGCTTTGCTGAATCTTTTTTAATCAGTTCACAGCTTTTTTTAAGTATCTAGATAGAAGTTGACTGGAGTATATAATTTTCTTCCTTTGAAATTTTATTTTTGTTATATTTCTTATGACTGCTAATGTTGAATTTGGGATCAAAGATAATTGGGGCTATATTATTTTCAAGTTGATCTGTTATACAGTACTTGACTATCAATGTTAAATGTTAGGCTTAATCAAGTTGATCCATCACACATGAAAATTTGTGTCTGCTGTAAGTATTTTTACATACTGTAACTGTCAGACCTCTATTATACACTGTTGTTATATAAATTTTATGAAGGTTAATCTCAAATGGTTCAAATTTTATTTGTCACCTTCATGAAACCTAGCCCATCGTGATTGAAACTTTGTGTAAAGAGAGAACAATCACAGCAGATACTTGCTCACCATTTATAAGGAACAGCCACAATAAAATAAGTTTTAACAAAATGGTATCACATGAGATAATGTATTAGACAACCACAGATGTACACTGCTGTCTGCACCAGCATGATCTCCTACTAAGTAGCTTATTATTAAATGGGCTATGTTGCCTTGTATTGAAACATGCACAAGCTGCTCTGTTCAAAAACACGGAGTCATGGGGTTCTAGATATACATTAAAAAGTCATATTAATATCCCTCTGGTATAGAAAATGATGTAAACCATTAAAAAATCAGTATCAATATGATAAGTGAAAAAGTTGAGAACTTAACCATACACATAGTAGAGATTCTGTGAACTACTGGCACCACATACCATTAGGGAGGGAAATAAAGAATATATACATTTAGAAACACAAAATTTAAAAATAATACTCAGGTAAGAAGGTAAACCTTCTTGAAAATATTAATACAACTCAAATTATTAGAGAGTAACATGCTTCCATGACCACATACAGTACACTATATCAAAAAAAGTACTTGTGTTGAAAGAAAACAAATTGATTGGTCCACAAGCAGTCTCAAATATTTTTCAAGCACTTAAATCGGTTGAAAAATAAACAATAGATATCTAATGCCACCATACAAAAATGTTCTTTTTGATTTTGATGAATAAGTTTAAAAATATTTCTAGTTAGTCTAAAAATTACCCTGTCATTCCTAAAAACTACTTTGTAGTTACAGTAAAAAAATATTCAAAAACCTTCAGGCCTGATGGCACCAGATTTCAAAATATATCAGCAGTGGTTCAGCAACTTGAAAACTGCCTGTTATTAGGAGAAGCTTTAGTAACTTTAGTTTAGGTGCCAAAACCCAAAACTACCGCATGAAAAATAATTTATATAGGAAAAAGCGTCTTTGGTTTGTCTAAATCAAACATCCTCAAGAGTACCCTTCTGCATAGTACTTCACTTTTAGAAATCCCCTTCTCTGATTGATTACTCAATTCGATTCAATAAATATTATATCACGGAGAGCACTGAAAAACGTGATTCCCGCATCAAAGTGCAATTCTTAAAATTAAAATTACTCTCGCAGCGTAAAGTAGAAAAGAGAGTAGGGGAGGATAGAAAGTCAGCAAAGTAAACCAGTTTTTCTTTAAGATTGTCAAAAAGAAAAATGGTCATGAATATAAAGGAGTTTTGCATGCCATACACTCATGCCGACTCACACACATCCATACTCATACCAAATGGAATTCTCCCTAGTCTTGGCCGATTTGTTGGATGGAGTACTGGGCAAGGTTGCACCTCGTTTGCTGCTGGTGTCATCTTGTCTAGACTGAGACCGCACTGGCAGTGTGGGGCTGCCACCGCTCCATTGTGACGTCCCTGGAGCTTCCCCAATAACTGTGGAAATGCGGTTGTAAACCAGGAGTCTGGAAGGGGAAAGCAAAAATTTTTTAGCTCAGGCTGGCGGTGAAACACTTTGTCACCCTCCCGAAAAGTCCTTCTAATCTTGATAACAGAGGACCTATTCAAATATTTTCATCATATTAGATGAAAATTCCACCTCCAATCTAAAAACCCTTGAATTTACCTTGGCTCTGATGGAGTTGATGTGACTAAAGCATCACTTCTGTTCTTGTCCTGCTCTTCATGATCTTCTTCTTCCTACAAAAGCAAAACAAAAGGCTCAGCAAAAAAAAAAAAAAAAAAAAAAAGACAAGAAGGAGATACGATAAAAACTACCTTGGGCTGATCCTCTTCATTAGTTTCTTCTTCTGTGTAATAAACAGTTCTCCTTGTACCAGCACTACCCAAACTCAAGGAACTTCGAGCAAATCCTCCAGCTAAAAAGTTGAAATACATTATTAAGGCATCTATTCATTTTAGAGTTCTTCAAATACTTGCAGCAATTGCACTCACCTTGCATGGGTTGAGCATGAATATCATCTAAGCTTGTATCTGAATCATTACCACCAGATTCAGAGCCATGTAATGATACAGCGGGCTGAATTTCTGCACCTCGGGAGTCCTCATGCCACGAACGTCGGCTCTAAAATCAAAAGGCGACAGTTACATAATAATGAAATAACCTTGGGTCAAGCTCAACTAACCAGAATCCACAAGCTTCTCTTCAAAGTTTTTAGATTTGAGATACCTCAAATTGAAACAGAAGATGGAAAGAAATTCAGAATTTTGAAATAGCTATATAAAAATGTCATAAAGGATAATTCAGAGAGAGTATCTCTTTAAATCTTGGTGATATCACACAAAATGTTCACAGTGAGAATTATAGGGAGTGAAAGAGCGATTAAAGAAAACAGAAAATGTGTTGTCTTCAAAGGGGTTCTAAAGGGGAATTAAAAGAAAGTAGTAGATTAACCACCAATCGACCAATGCTATTTCACCTTAACAATAAATGATAATATATGTTACAAACCTTGTTGATTAGATCAGAACTAGCCTTTTTGACCTTCTTTACCAAACTAGCTCCAAAGCTTCTCTTCTTGGTGGGACAACTTTCCATGCGCCTGTAATGCTCCATTATCTTCTCTTCTAGTTTTTCTTTTTGTCTGTGCAAGTTATTCAATTTGTCTGTGTACATTTTTTCTTCTAGATGATACTGCTCTTTATCTTCCAAAGAGTGATTGAGCAGTTCCTGGTATTGGCTTAGAAGTTGAGATACATGTTCCATGAGGGAGCGTCTATCCTCTTCCAAGCCAGTGTTCATTTGAAGAAGCATCTAGTCGTTGAAACACAATAATAGACTAGTAATAATCCTTTAATAAAATTCAAAATAAGGCTCAGAGATAAGCTTACCTCGCATTTGTTCCTTAATTTAGACAGCTCAAGTTCCATGGTATTTATATGATCCCCTTGAGTTGCAATTTCACCTTGAAGCTGGGTCTGCCTAAGCCTTAAATCTGCATTTTCTGTGCGCAGCAGTTTATAATCTTCCTGAATGCCTCTAAAATCCAAGCGCTGCTTTTCACTTGCAGTAAAAAGATTACGGAAGTCATCCTAAGGAGATGATGAAAACATTAGCAAGACATCAGTGACGTCCATTAATTACATTCATTCGCAAAATCACTTTACTTTGAGTTTAGAATGTTCAGCTCGCAAATTTCCAAGAGATCTTGTTTCTTCTCTGAGAGAGTTCTTTTCACTTTGGTTTTGTTGCTCCAAAAGAGTGCAACGCTCTCTTAAAAGCCGTAATTCAGTACGCAGGTCTCTCTGTGCTGTAAGTAGAGTCTGCTTTTCATCAACAAGAGCATCATAATCCCCCGTCAACTGCTCATGAATGGATTGAAGGGCAACCTGATCTACCACAAGCTGCTCATGAGTTTGTTGCTGCTGACTCTTTTCTTTCAAAAGCTGGGAACATTAAAATGTATTTGCTAAGCTACAAATTTTACCTGCAACATGCAATCAATGTAGATCTGAATCTAACAAACCTCATCTTTCTCAGTAACTAATTGTGTGTTGGCAACTTGAAGAGCTGTATGTTGAGCTGACAAGGCAGTAATACGACTCTGGAGCGTGGCAACTTGTACTTGAAGTCGAGCATTATCAGAATGAGCAGAATCTGTAGCTGATTGAAGACTAGCCAACTCTGCACGTAAATCTTCACACTGCCGAGAAACATCATCTTGAGTAACATCTCCAACCTTAATCTGATCTCCAGCTTCTTCTTTGTTCACAGACAAATCGCTGGAAACACAAACTTTGCCAAGCATCTCTGATGTAGCACGTTGAACCTCAGGACTTCCTAAAATGCTGGAATCATATCACACACATGATAACTACATTACTTTGGAAAACAATGTTACAAGTGTCACAAGTAAAAGCATACTTTTCTAGGACATTGTCAGGGTCTTGCAGCTGCTCCAAAGTAAGACCTAGACGCTCAAGACTTCCCTTAATTTGTCTCACACACATCTTTTCAGCCACCAAATCTGTTTGCAGGACTGATAAGGCTTCACGATCTAAGGCTGCTTTCGAAGCAATTTCTTGTCCTTCCCGCTCTACTTCCTGTAGTCTGTAAATTTTGGAAAAAAAAAAGAATATATGTGTACATTTGACTTAATGATGAACATGCTTACAAAATATATTTGAGTGCGTACCTCATTACTAGTGTCTTGGCTTCCTCCAATTCCTTATTTAATTTGGAAACATCCTTCTCAAGACATTCAATTTCATTAGCTCGCTTATCAAGAGTAACATCCTTGGCTTCAAGACTCTCCTTGAACTTGGTCACCTCCCTAATTGAGGCCTGTTTTTCTTTTTCCATAATTTCGCATCTACTTTCAGCTTCAGCAATGAGCCTCTGTAATTCTGGAATGCGCTGAAGCTCAGCTCGATTACGATCTGCCACTTGAGAAGCACTTTCAACAGCACGTTCTAACTCTTCTGCTTTGCGCTGCAAACTGTCATAGGAATTTTGAAGCCACTGCTTCTCCTTTGAAAGGTTATCAGCAAGGTGCTCTGCATTTCCTCTTCTTCCGTGTTCAACCTGTAGTTCCTGATCCAATTTTTCAGAGCGGGCACGGAAAGACTCACGAGACTCTTGCAGTTTAACATTGTCTTGCAAAGCATCCTTAACCAGTTTCTCCAGTTCTGAGTTTTGTTGTTGCATTCGATTAACATTTTCTTGAAGTTGCTCTACCTAAAAGAGGAATGGGGAAGAAACAGAGATTAGATGTTTTCTGTCAAGCCAATGATACACATGGAGAAATAAATATTACCTTAATAGATAACTTTTTCTTTTCTTTCTCCAAGTCCAATATTTTATTGCTATTTTCTAGGAATGATGATTCCTTGAGATTATCCATGGCGGACTGGAGACGCCGATTTTCCAGCTCCAAGCGAAGTGCTCGTGCTTGAGCATTACTACTGAGTTGCTCTGAAAGGCTATTGTCATTAGAAGCTTCAGGGATAGTCTGCTCTAGAAAAGAATTGTCAACTGAATTGTCGGCTAAAGAATTCTTCGTCATGATTTGCAACCTTTTATTTTCTTCATATGCCTCTTGTAACTTTTCTTGAATAGCTTCTTGCTCCTGAAAATAATAATTTTGATAATGGTAATAATTAACCTAATGACTTGTTATAAGTTAAAAGGTGTGAGTAAAGTAGACTTACCAGGCCCATTTCATTTATTTGCTTTTTACATTTGATCAATTCATTTTCAAGATCTAAGACATGTTCACTCTTTTTACGAGAACTTTGAAGCTGCTCTTCTAACATTTCACGAGTCTCCATGAGCACTCTGTCAAAAACATAACAGACAACAAGCTTTGGTCACAGAGGCACTTTGGAAAAAATAAAAAAAATATGGATTCTTATTCAAATGTGTTTATTGTACACACCTGTTGTCTTCTCTAAGTTCTTCAACACGAGACTTGTAGAAATCAATGTCACTTAGTTTTTCACGATATCGCTGCACTTCGGATTCCAGTTTGTCAACTCGTTCAGCTCTTTCACGAATTGCATCAAGTTCATCTCTGTACAATTTGGCTGATCGAGCTTCTTGCATAAGATCTTGTATCTAGATATTGGTAAAACATATTAATTGTATTTGAATATTACTTTGTTAGCAATGTACAGTAGTCCTATTGGGTATGACTTTGAAATCAAATACAGACCTCATTTCGAAGTTTTGCAACAATCATCTTTTGATGTTCTGCTTCCTCTTTACTCTCTGCCAGTGCTTCTGATTTCTCCTCCCTATAAATAAACAAAAGAAAAACAACAAAATTTTATGATATATAGAAAGTTTGATTGAAGACAAACATACAGGTGCTTGAGTACAGCAGAAATATTTGAGTAAAGGCTTAGGAGGAAACCTTACAATTCTTGTCTTTGCTTTCGTACTCGAGATTTCCAATCAGCTAACTCTACAGCAAAATGGTGTGTATCACTCCCAGATGCCTGAGATGCTTGTCTACGCTGCGAATCACTTTGCAAGGTTGCAGGACTGTTAGGGCTTACACCACTATCTACCCTCTCTTGGACAGAGGCATTAAGCCATTGCTGAAGATATGCATCTCTTTCTTTGACCAGTCTACGAACATGGTTGATCATTAAATCATTGGATAAATTATCTTCACTTGCTTCATGAGATAGAACAACTCTCTGAGAGTCAGTAACCTGTCAAAAGAAAATGAAGTTTTTAAGTACTTGATAATTATTATGCAAGAAAATACTGTAGAATTCATGTCAGCAGTCACAAACCTGTTTAATACAATCTACTATGTCATGCTGTGTATTCTCACTGAGTTGCTTTATACGGTAAATAAATCTTTCCTTGTTAGGACATTGAACGGCACATCCCAGGAGTAACAATAAGAAAAGTTGCATGTTTTCTAAACCAGACTTAGTCTCAGGGTGACGGCCAATTTCCACACAATCTGGTACCATTAATAATGTTTGACAAAGTTCTTCCTGATAAAAACAAATTGTGAATATTTATTGAGTTATCATGATGTGGATATTCTATTTCTTGATGCGGAGAAAGAAACTGAGCTCCAAGGCATCACATACCTCATATACTGCCTTCATGTTCTTCCAAATTATGTCTAGGTTGCGAATGCGGGTGGCAGAATTTCCCATGCTAGGAACAACTCCATCGTGCTCTGGTTCTGGATTGCTGTAAATACAAAAAAATTATAGACACATTTAAAGTTAATGGCTGTAAGGATACCTCATCAACATATTTACATACATTTGAAGCATGACTTCATGGAGCACCATGCCATCTATCAAATCTTCATAATTCACAATACATTTTGGATTTTCTGAGCAGGATTTCAACTGCAAAAGTATTTTTTCACCATTATCATTAAATTAAAATTAGCAGAAATGTTCAATTCTCAAGTAGATTTACAAACACATAACTAGAAAATATCAGAATGCTGATACATACCCAGGTAACTAAGGGTCCGTTGAGAAAACTCTCAATATCTGTCCCAGAAGCCATTATGTGCAGGAAAATTTCAGTTGCAAAATAAAGATAAAAATATAGAATGTTCAGAGTCAAAAGAAAGAACTAGAGATCATTTTGCCTCTTATCCTGAAAAAAAAAAAGAGTAATTATGAATCGTTACAGAAAGAAAAAAGGAAAAATGACGTCAAACTAAACCCAGTTTCAAAATTTGGAAAACATTCAAAACTTTTGATTGGTCCTAAACCTTGCTTGTTAAGTAGAAATTTTGATTGATGAACGGGATAGAGCTAAGATAATTTCGAAAGCAATGTGCTAATATTGGTTCAAGTAGAGTAGGCTTATCAGTACAAAATACGAGAAGCATTTCCTTGTAGCTCATAGAATAAACAACAAAATAGATGTGGGAGTACAGCACTAACCCGAGATAATGAACAATATAATGACGTTTAAAGTGGTACGGGCATAAGTGAGTAGTTTCTTTTAAGACATGGTACCGATAACGACAACTACTAAACAAAAGGTACGCCGAACAGGGGCACAAGCAAACTATTATACTCTACCGGTCTACAGTTTCTCTTACAAATTTGATGGCATTATTGGCTTCTAAGAATCGTTTAACACAGAGGATTTAATTCTAATGCTCCACATAGATAAGAATACAGCATAAAACACCGATGTTTTTGTTTGGGTTTTGTTGTACCCGTTGCCAAGTTCGGTGAGCAGAAAGAAACACAGACCCCCCACTGCTCCCCACCCCCACTCACTTCCCCCCTCCCTCAACCGCAACAGGTATGAGAATGACCGCTTGTGACCGCATGCTGAGGCTGAGAGGAGCTTGTGGAGAGTACCCGAGAGCCGGGCGCCAATTTTGAAAATGTTCAACATCAATGTCGGTTTGAGGTCTTCACAAAATTGAAATGGTTGCAAGGTGTAAATACAGTCTCAAAAAATCTCGTGTAGAATGAAAATAAGGGTCGTTGCTTTTTAACTTTTTATTGCACATATTTCATATCACAAAAGAGTATCAAAACATACATACATAAATCAGTTATTGCTTTAAATCAAATTTCAGTGTACAGCATTATTTTAAACTTGAGAGTATCACAGTATTTCATAGCTAAGACGACCTAGGAAAATTGACTGAAGAACTATGGAACAACATTAAATATTACCCCATCCCTTACAAAGCAGGCAACATCATTGTCAGGGACCAATTTGTACAATAAGGTTTATCAACCCAATCAAGGCTATCTCCTGACCTGCAGAACACTTGCATAGCTATTACTGTTAAAAATTATGTGTTTGTGCTAGCAAGTTGATTACAAAGCATAATTATTAATCAGATATTATTTGCTATCATTGAATAAACTGGCAGCAAAATAGTTCAAAAAAATATTTTGAGGGGAACTTTGCACTTCAAAATATAATGTAAGATTTCAAACAAAAAATTTAGCTAGTTTTAGGAGTGATTGGTGTGGAAGACGCTTTGAACACCAGAGGATTAGATACTCTGAATACACTGGGCAGCATTGCCGCCAAGCTAACAAATACCTCATCGGATATGCCCTGTAACAAAGAAATTGATGAAACGAACAAAAGTTAGTTTTTTAAACCATTCCTACTTTTATGAAATAACAAATATGGAACAAATCCAGAATTCATTCACCTCTGGTACTACAAATTGAAGGTTTTTCAGTTCTGAGCCACCCCATGATGCCATCTCAATCATGAATCCTTTAACACATTTGAGTACCAATTCTGCTCTTTTGGCACACCAAGCAACAGTCATTTCCTGATAACAAGAAAAGGAATGTATTGCTAGCTACAAAAACAACTTCACACCATTCTGACAATGTACTTTTGACATAAAAAATACCTCTGTTATATGATGAGCCAGAAGAAGAGGAACAGTGAGTGTAGTGATGTCATTGCTGCAGGCTGTTTTAAGGACATTGCGGAGTCCTAATATAGCTGGATGCCTTGAGTTTATTTCACCTGCAGATTGTGTTCATAGTAATGTAGTTGCTTCCTTCACAAAGTAAACCAACAAGTTGCAAACAGTAAAATTACGCTTACTTGAGCGAAGGGAGTCATCAATCACCATGTGGAAGACAACATGAACTTCATTTAAATTGGAATGGCGAGTTACATAAACATCTCCAGATCGAAGAGCACCAGAACTTGAAGCACGCCGCCACTGAAATCCCAATAAGAGAATATTTCAATAAGAGACTATTCTGGAGTTAGACCAGAAAAACAAAGGGATAGTACATATAATTACTTGTTGGCTAGAAATTGATAAGTTCTCTGCAATCCAGTGCTCTTGTCTCCAGGCTGCTGTCTCTTTGACACCTTCACGAATTTTTTCTAGTTGGTCATCAATGGATGGGAAGTGAAATTCAGTGGACTGCTGGCATACACTTATAAAATCTAGAGAGAAAAAAAATCAAAAATAACTAGGTTGTTTTTACAAAATGTAACACATTTTTATGAACTGTTTGCTAACCTTTGGTTGTGCCAGAAAAAGAAGATATCAAACCATCGGTTAATAGTACAAGACCACACAAGTCATTGGAGTACAGAGCTAAAGCTGTCTGAAGTCTTTGAGGCTGCATATCCATGCCTCTGCAAAATGTACAAGGTGCTATTAATCAAAAAGTTTAAAAGTGACAAAAAAAAGTAATTTTAAAATAAAAATTACCCTTTTGAGGAAAGATGTGTTTTACAGAGATGTAAAACATCAGCAGACATAATACGAATGTTATGCATTTGCTTCATCTGAGATCCAAGATGGATAGTAAAGCTTTCTTCAAGACCTGGATTATTTCCAACATCAGAGCTTATGTCACTGCCTCCTTTACCCTTGTCTTTAGATGACACATCATTTGACAGATGACGTACTCTAGAAGGCAAACACAAATTTACAATTATCAAAAATATTTAGATGAAAGAGTATCCAGCATCTCACACATGTGAAAATAAGAAACTTACATATGAGTTGGAGATGGTGTTGGAGGAGTGACACTGGATGCCTCTTCAGCTTGCTCTTCAAGTAATTTCATTAACCAATCACGATACTCTCGCCTTTGAGTTTCTTGCAAGGAGTCAATTTGGCTGTTAATCTTTGCTTGGATCATATTCTGATCTTCACAATGACGTGCTGCCAGCAAATTTACATCTGCCTCTGTACTGAATTCACCTATACCCGCAACCAAATCTGACATTTCCTTTGCCTGCCTGGAAGAAAGATGCGAAGCAAAACTTAGTGTCAGCTATAAAAGACATTGCAACTATTGAACAATGGACATTTACCGCTCTGTTAAAGAGGCTAGTTCATCATCCCTCTGTGTAGTCATTTCATTGACAGCAATAGAATAAGAATGTTCAACTTGTAGCATTCCCTCTAACGCAGGAGAATGCACTAATTTATGATAAACGGTAGCAAAGAGCTCTTCATCAGTAGATCCCCTCGGATCTGCATATTCTGCTGTTTCCTACAAGGAAGAAGAGTACTAGGCATTAAATAAAGGTACAGCACTATTCGGTATAAGAAGAACATAAGTTTTAACCTACCTCTTTGAAGAGCCTTTCAAATTTTTTAATGACTTCCTCTGCATCAATTTCACCATTCTGAGCCTTTTTCAAAGCATCTTCAGCAACAGTATCATGAAAGAGCAAGGTCTCCTTGTCGACAAAAGACTTCAACTTTTCCTCAAGATCTGCAAATGGACAAAATAGGGTTAAGGGTTACCACTACCATAAAAGATATAAGATAGTTTACAAACCTTTTTCAATATAAACGGGTACTTTGAACAAAGTTATAAGTCGTTGTGCAAGCTCACGAATGTTTCCTGAGAAGGGTATGTGAATAGGGACCTCAAACTGGTGCTTGTCATCAGTTGTTAGGGTAGGGAATTCAAACATGAATTTCTTTTCAACAACCTTCTCTGAGGTGGGCGTCATTGTAGACGGCAATCTAGAGGTACTCGGTTTATGACTGGGCGAACTGACATAACGAGCCTAACCAAACAATCACGTAAGCACAAAAAAAATTGCAAATTCCAGCCTGATGTACAGAAAGTTCATATAAAACACTTGAAATGCATTAAATGCTTCTCATATACAAAGGAAACGCAAGAAAGGGGACAGGTGTCAAAGATGGGAAAGTGCAAAAGGAGGGCGGATGACAACAAGACCTGGAAAGCTGGAAACAACCGGTGTATTCTGCTTGGCCAGACTGCGAATAATCAATCGGCCTGTCTATAGTGTTATACTGAGTGCCTACTTACAGGCGTTTTTGCCACCTGAATGTGGAATGTGGTCAAATTTTGTTCAATGAATGTGTGAAGCTGTTCCCCCCTCGGGTTGCGTTCCTGGTCACAGTATAGCTTATGTTACTTGCATTCTATGTTCACAGAAAACCAGTACCGCTGCCTGTACTGCACGAAGGAATTTCGATGCATAAGCGACCTCACGCGACACGTAGTGTCTAAGCACACCCCCCACGCTGAGGCCTACCAAAGATTTGTGGCGGACCAGACGAGTGTCACATCAAGATCTATAAGGAAGTTCATGAGGGAGGTGGTGAAGGCCGATGCCCGCGCCGAGGCCTCCGAGGCGCAGCTGATCAAGGAGCAGGACCGCGTGTTGGCAGTGGAGGCGCGGCTCACCGAACAGCAGGAGCGCGCCGACGCCGCTGACGCCCTGGTCCTGCAGCTGCGAGCTCGCGCTGAGGAAGCCGAGGAGCGTGCCGCCGCGGCTGCGGCTGACGCGTTCAACTTAGCGCGCCACGATGGGCGCTTCCAGGCGCTCGTGGACGCGCGCGCCGCGGAGCGCGCCGAAGAGCTCGCAGAGGAGCGCGTCGCGAGACAATTTGTTGAGATCAACAGAAATGTGCTGCAAGCAAATCTCGGGGTCCTGAACGCGACGGCCACCTTCCACGCCAATGGCTGGCGCCGCGCCAACTGATGCGAGTGCTATTATAAAGTTCAAAAAGAGTTAAAACCCGGTGCATAGTCTTGAAAAACCATCTATGTGATCATTCAATTTTATGCTTTAATTAAAGCGGTGGCCTTTCTTGTTTTTAACATTAGACTTGCTTGAATTTTTCTATCAAAATAAGATATAGATAATTCAGGGTGTGTTTTAAACACTTCTAAAAACGGGAATTCATCTATCAAATTGAAATCATTTATGTGTGCTTTAAAAATGTGTCAATTTGTTTGCTCTAGAACTTAGTCAGATATTTATTTTATGTTATAACGCTTATATAAGTCAGTCCCACCATTTCTGTTGACTGGTAGGATCCATGGGTCAACTTGGAAAGTATTTAGTGAAAATGGTTGAAGGGGCTACAAAATCGATTGAGTCGATTCAATTTTATGCTCTGGTGACCTTTCTTTTTTTAAAACACAGACTAACTATAGACTTGCTTAAATTTTTATTCTTGTTTCTTTTTAAAAAAAAACATTTCTTTTAACTCTAAGGAACTCTTGCATCCCTTTCCTGTAGTGAGAAGCGTTTGCTCTTGAAGCTATGCATATGTAGCAGTGCTGGCCTTTATTGGGGTTTTTATAATGCACACATATCAATTAAGTAAAAAATGTAAATATGATGTGAGCAATAATTTCAATACAAATTCTAGTGTCATATGTGTTGGTTTCCAAGTCTCTGCAGGTTTGGGTAGGGATTTTCAAGTAATCACACGCGACACGCGAATTGGCTGCGGAGGTGTTTATTCAACGACTTTTCAACAACGACTGACACGACACAAGAGCACATGGGTAACAGGAAACGGAAAAACAGAAGAAGAACAGGAACGACAAGAAATGCGCTGCCAACTTAAATCTTACAAGTATAAATTTCCTACAATATGTAGCAGTGCTGGCTTTTATTGGACCCCCTGGGGGGGGGGGGATTCCTGGCCATGGCTTCCCGACGGCGGAGGCGGGCCGTACCGGGGCGCAGCTGGCGCAGGTGCATCATACACCGGCCGCGGCGGCCCTGGGCGGTTGCGTCGAGGTTGCGTTCCTGGTCACAGTATAGCTTATGTTACTTGCATTTCATGTTCACAGAAAACCAGTACCGCTGCCTGTACTGCACGAAGGAGTTTCGCTGCATAAGCGACCTCACGCGACACGTCGTGTCGAAGCACACCGCACATGCTGAAGCCTACCAACGATTTGTGGCGGATCAGACCAGCGTAACATCAAGATCCATAAGGAAGTTCATGAGGGAGGTGGTGAAGGCCGATGCCCGCGCCGAGGCCTCCGAGGCGCAGCTGATCAAGGAGCAGGACCGGGCCGACGCCGCTGACGCCCTGGTCCTGCAGCTGCGAGCTCGCGCTGAGGAAGCCGAGGACCGTGCCGCCGCAGCTGCCACCGAGATTGCCGATGCGCGGAGGCAAGCCAGGGAAGCCGAGGAGCGTGCCGCCGCGGCTGCCACCGAGACTGCCGAGGCGCGGACGCAAGCCAGGGAAGCCGAGGAGCGTGCCACCGCGGCTGCCACCGAGACTACCAGTGCCTCTTCTGTAACGCCGAGAAGAGAGATATAAACGACTTCACCAGGTACGTTGCCTCTTGTCATCGGGAGCATTATCCTGGATTCAAGGCCCTGGTCGCGGACCGAGATGACGCTACAGCCCGCGAGGTGCGCAAGTATCTGCGGGCGGTGAAGAAGGCGGATGAGCGCGACGAAGCTGCAGATGCCGCAAACCGCGCCCTGGAGCTGCAGGTCGCGGAGCTGCAGGTCCTCGTTGACGAGGAGCGGCAGCGCGCCGACGCCGCCGATGCCGGGCGGCAGCTGCAAGTCCGCCAAGGAGGACCAGCTCGAGGACCAGGTCGGACTTCCGCGAGCCCAAGCCAAGGAAGAGGGGACGCGAGCCAAGGAGGCCAATGCCACGGCGATGCAAGCCGAGGCTCGCCTTGAGCGCGCCGAGGTGGCCATCAGGGCGGCTCAGGCTGAGGCGGCCGAGGTGCGCCGTGAGGCCTTCGACGCCGCGCGGCACGATCCGCGCTTCAAGGCGCTCGTCAACGAGTGCGCCGCGGAGCTCGCGGAGCAGCAAATCGCGAGGCGCTTCTTGGAGACCAACCGAGAAGTGCTGCAAGCCAACACCAGGGTACTGGAGATGATGGCCAACATGGAGTCACTGTGACTCCGTGCCGTGGCGCGGAGGCAAGCCAGGGAAGCCGAGGAGCGTGCCGCCGCGGCTGCCACCGAGACTACCAGTGCCTCTTCTGTAACGCCGAGAAGAGGGATATAAACGACTTGACCAGGCACGTTGCCTCTTGTCATCGGGAGCATTATCCTGGATTCAAGGCCCTGGTCGCGGACCGAGATGACGCTACAGCCCGCGAGGTGCGCAAGTATCTGCGGGCGGTGAAGAAGGCGGATGAGCGCGACGAAGCTGCAGATGCCGCAAACCGCGCCCTGGAGCTGCAGGTCGCGGAGCTGCAGGTTCGCGTCGACGAGGAGCGGCAGCGCGCCGACGCCGGGCGGCAGCTGCAAGTCCGCGTCAAGGAGGACCAGCTCGAGGACCAGGTCGGACTTCCGCGAGCCCAAGCCAAGGAAGAGGGGACGCGAGCCAAGGAGGCCAATGCCACGGCGATGCAAGCCGAGGCTCGCCTTGAGCGCGCCGAGGTGGCCATCAGGGCGGCTCAGGCTGAGGCGGCCGAGGTGCGCCGTGAGGCCTTCGACGCCGCGCGGCACGATCCGCGCTTCAAGGCGCTCGTCAACGAGAGCGCCGCGGAGCTCGCGGAGCAGCAAATCGCGAGGCGCTTCTTGGAGACCAACCGAGAAGTGCTGCGAGCCAACACCAGGGTACTGGAGATGATGGCCAACATGGAGTCACTGTGACTCCGTGCCGTGGCGCGGACGCAAGCCAGGGAAGCCGAGGAGCGTGCCGCCGCGGCTGCGGCTGACGCGTTCAACTTAGCGCGCCACGATGGGCGCTTCCAGGCGCTCGTGGACGCGCGCGCCGCGGAGCGGGCCGAAGAGCTCGCAGAGGAGCGCGTCGCGAGACAATTTGTTGAGATCAACAGAAATGTGCTGCAAGCAAATCTCGGGGTCCTGAACGCGACGGCCACGGCCACGGCCACAGATCGAAGAGCACCAGAACTTGAAGCACGCCGCCACTGAAATCCCAATAAGAGAATATTTCAATAAGAGACTATTCTGGAGTTAGACCAGAAAAACAAAGGGATAGTGCATATAATTACTTGTTGGCTAGAAATTGATAAGTTCTCTGCAATCCAGTGCTCTTGTCTCCGGGCTACTGTCTCTTTGACACCTTCACGAATTTTTTCTAGTTGGTCATCAATGGATGGGAAGTGAAATTCAGTGGACTGCTGGCATACACTTATAAAATCTAGAGAGAAAAAAAAATCAAAAATAACTAGGTTGTTTTTACAAAATGTAACACATTTTTATGAACTGTTTGCTAACCTTTGGTTGTGCCAGAAAAAGAAGATATCAAACCATCGGTTAATAGTACAAGACCACACAAGTCATTGGAGTACAGAGCTAAAGCTGTCTGAAGTCTTTGAGGCTGCATATCCATGCCTCTGCAAAATGTACAAGGTGCTATTAATCAAAAAGTTTAAAAGTGACAAAAAAAAGTAATTTTAAAATAAAAATTACCCTTTTGAGGAAAGATGTGTTTTACAGAGATGTAAAACATCAGCAGACATAATACGAATGTTATGCATTTGCTTCATCTGAGATCCAAGATGGATAGTAAAGCTTTCTTCAAGGCCTGGATTATTTCCAACATCAGAGCTTATGTCACTGCCTCCTTTACCCTTGTCTTTAGATGACACATCATTTGACAGATGACGTACTCTAGAAGGCAAACACAAATTCACAATTATCAAAAATATTTAGATGAAAGAGTATCCAGCATCTCACACATGTGAAAATAAGAAACTTACATATGAGTTGGAGATGGTGTTGGAGGAGTGACACTGGATGCCTCTTCAGCTTGCTCTTCAAGTAATTTCATTAACCAATCACGATACTCTCGCCTTTGAGTTTCTTGCAAGGAGTCAATTTGGCTGTTAATCTTTGCTTGGATCATATTCTGATCTTCACAATGACGTGCTGCCAGCAAATTTACATCTGCCTCTGTACTGAATTCACCAATACCCGCAACCAAATCTGACATTTCCTTTGCCTGCCTGGAAGAAAGATGCGAAGCAAAACTTAGTGTCAGCTATAAAAGAGATTGCAACTATTGAACAATGGACATTTGTTACACTTTACAAGTGGGGTGGGTTACTTGGCCACAAAGAGAAGCAGGAAATCAATGGCTGGAATCTTGATGCAGAGAGAGAGTAGGGATGCAGGGGTGTAAGGGCAGACCGATTATTATTTTTAGTAAGGGCGCCAGGTACGCCAAGACTATTAAGTTAATATTGAAATGCGCTAGCAGCACAACAACAAAAACAAACAAGATCCCGGAATACCATCGGTCGGCCCCTCCACTACAAGAAACAAGAAAAACAATGAATTGTACTGAATTACTAAATTGAAAACCAATTGCAAATAAAGACAATAACAAAAGATAGCAATGTCAATAATTGTCCTAACGTGGGGCTCGAACCCATTCGCATTTACATAAGAAATTACACGAACTCAATTAGTCAATAAGAAATTTGAAAATCGGTACAAAAACACAAAATAGAAGTAATGCAGAAAGTTAGGAAAATTAACAGTGTACAAGCTAGAGATTTTTAACGGGAACGCGGGCGCGGTAGCTACATTGATTAAGTTGAACGCGAGTAGTTAATTCACAATTTAGCTTCAAATAAAGAAGTAGAATTTACTTTAACTTGGATCAGCGATACAACATTACAAACAAACAAAGCTAATAAACTAGCAAAAATCTAACAATGCGCGACCCGGTCCGGTACTGACGGTTTAGCGACACAAATCTAACGGTGAACTTTAGCAACAAAATTAGTGCAAATTAAGTTTCACAAACCGAAGATAAATTAACAGTGTACACAGCTAAATCGCAAAAATCAACACGCGAAAATTACCACAGTACCGAGAGATTTTCCTAGCACACACAAGTACACATTACAAACAATACCCAGGGCCCATGGGAAAAATAAGAAATAACAAGAAAGAGTGCGCACTCACCAATCTTCATCGTAAAACGGCATCAGCAACAAAGAGAGTGGGTCGGGGCGTCCCCCTTCCACTACACTGCGTCACAGCGTCGCGCCGAGGCGCATACACACTTCACTACGGCGCAAAGGCGTCCGATAGGTATCACAACACCACATCACTAGCACATCACAGGGAGGGTGATGGGGCGCCGTGCAGAGGCAGCGGCGAGGCAAGGAGAAGGCGTCCAGCTTCATGGTGACGGCGAGGGCGGGCCGGTCGGGTGGTCGGTGCAGCAACGGTGTGGCAGGGGCAAGTCAGGCCCGTTAGCCGAGCATGGCGTTGTCAGTGGCCCAGGCACAAAAAGCCCTACGGGAAAAACAGGGTGGTGAAATGACTGCCAAAACTCGTACGATACCGTGCTGCACACCGGGACGAGTCCACACCTTGCGGGCTTCATGTAGATGGTCTCGGCGATGAACATGACGGCCACGTGGAGGACGCGGTCACCGGGACGAACGACGGGGACGTGTCGGCTCTCTCGGTCCAGTCTCAACGAGACGCTCACTCGGACTGACTCCGGCTCGTCAGGCGAGGGGAAGGGGGAAGCGGCGGCTTCGGCAGGTGCGCTGGCGGCGCGCGGAGCGGCCGGTCGGACCGCGCTGGCAACCCCTTCGCTCGCTGAGCGAGCAGACGACGCACGGCCGGCTTCGAAGCCGGAGGTGGCGGAGCGGGGTGTGGTGGCTCGTGGCACCCAGGCCAGCACTCTCACTGCAGCCGACACCGACACTGTCACTGGACTCGGACTCGCCCGCCATCCATTTGTCCGCCGCTCTGCTCCTGCCCCAGCACGTGCCATCCATCTGCCATGCCTCCGCGTACTCGTCGTAAGTAAATTTATTATCCATTTACACGTTTACGGCCGGGGTACTGCCGGAATAGCGGAAGCGTGTCGACAGGCTTCCAGATAATCGTGAATTATCCCGGCCGAACGCAGAAACGCTATCGCTGCCCACGGGGACGGGGAGCGCTCGCCGGCGGCCATAGACAACAAACCTGTTGTCTATGCCGGTGGCTGGAGGCCGTAGGCCGCGGCTCGCGGGCCGTTCCGAGGCGCAGCTGGCAGGTGCATCATACACCGGCCGGCGGCCCTGGGTGGCCACGCCCCGCCATGCCGCGGCGTGCTCGTCGAGCATGTTGCATTGTGCGTCTTCGCAGCGGTTGGGCCCTCGTCCGTGCGTGCGCAAGAGCGTCCGCTCCTGCTCGTACGCGCGCGACGGCCCTCGGTCCTGCTGGTACTGTCGACCGCCTGCCGTCGTCTGCTGTTCACGGTTGCACGCTCGCCTGATAAGTCTCAGCGTGCCGCATCCGTGGCAGCGTGTGCGCCTGTACGGACAGCGGTTGCGTCGGGTTGCGTTCCTGGTCACAGTATAGCTTATGTTACTTGCATTTTATGTTCACAGGAAACCTCGCGGACCGAGAGGACGCTACAGCCCGCGAGGTGCGCAAGTATCTGCGGGCGGTGAAGAAGGCGGATGAGCGCGACGAAGCTGCAGATGCCGCAAACCGCGCCCTGGAGCTGCAGGTCGCGGAGCTGCAGGTCCGCGTTGACGAGGAGCGGCAGCGCGCCGACGCCGCCGATGCCGGGCGGCAGCTGCAAGTCCGCGTCAAGGAGGACCAGCTCGAGGACCAGGTCGGACTTCCGCGAGCCCAAGCCAAGGAAGAGGGGACGCGAGCCAAGGAGGCCAAAGCCACGGCGATGCAAGCCGAGGCTCGCCTTGAGCGCGCCGAGGTGGCCATCAGGGCGGCTCAGGCTGAGGCGGCCGAGGTGCGCCGTGAGGCCTTCGACGCCGCGCGGCACGATCCGCGCTTCAAGGCGCTCGTCAACGAGTGCGCCGCGGAGCTCGCGGAGCAGCAAATCGCGAGGCGCTTCTTGGAGACCAACCGAGAAGTGCTGCGAGCCAACACCAGGGTACTGGAGATGATGGCCAACATGGAGTCACTGTGACTCCGTGCCGTGGCGCGGACGCAAGCCAGGGAAGCCGAGGAGCGTGCCGCCGCGGCTGCGGCTGACGCGTTCAACTTAGCGCGCCACGATGGGCGCTTCCAGGCGCTCGTGGACGCGCGCGCCGCGGAGCGCGCCGAAGAGCTCGCAGAGGAGCGCGTCGCGAGACAATTTGTTGAGATCAACAGAAATGTGCTGCAAGCAAATCTCGGGGTCCTGAACGCGACGGCCACCTTCCACGCCAATGGCTGGCGCCGCGCCAACTGATGCGAGTGCTATTATAAAGTTCAAAAAGAGTTAAAACCCGGTGTAGTCTTGAAAAACCATCTATGTGATCATTCAATTTTATGCTTTAATTAAAGTGGTGGCCTTTCTTGTTTTTAACATTAGACTTGCTTGAATTTTTCTATCAAAATAAGATATAGATAATTCAGGGTGTGTTTTAAACACTTCTAAAAACGGGAATTCATCTATCAAATTGAAATCATTTATGTGTGCTTTAAAAATGTGTCAATTTGTTTGCTCTAGAACTTAGTCAGATATTTATTTTATGTTATAACGCTTATATAAGTCAGTCCCACCATTTCTGTTGACTGGTAGGATCCATGGGTCAACTTGGAAAGTATTTAGTGAAAATGGTTGAAGGGGCTACAAAATCGATTGAGTCGATTCAATTTTATGCTCTGGTGACCTTTCTTTTTTTAAAACACAGACTAACTATAGACTTGCTTAAATTTTTCTTCTTGTTTGTTTTTTAAAAAAACATTTCTTTTAACTCTAAGGAACTCTTGCATCCCTTTCCTGTAGTGAGAAGCGTTTGCTCTTGAAGCTATGCATATGTAGCAGTGCTGGCCTTTATTGGGGTTTTTATAATGCACACATATCAATTAAGTAAAAAATGTAAATATGATGTGAGCAATAATTTCAATACAAATTCTAGTGTCATATGTAGCAGTGCTGGCTTTTATTGGGGTTTTTATAATGCTCACAGATCAATTATTGTGATTGTAAGTAAAAAATGTAAATATGATGTGGACAAATTCCATCTATGCGATATGTAGATAGTTAAATTGTAGTCAGCATTATTGTGATGTAAAAAGTTAAATTGGCAATTAAATTTTCATTACTTCAGTTTTGTATGATTGAGATATTTTATTTACAACTCTATTTTACACATGAATATATTTCAAAGTTGTCATTCTGCTTCATATGCTAATACATACATAGATGAGTTATTCACACAGACACTCAGATTTTGCACTTTTATGCTGACTCCTTTCCACATTCTAAAATTGTAAACTTGTTGGTTTCGGACCCAAGTTGGGTAACTAAATTGCGTCAGCTTTTGACAAGGAAATTATATTTTATCCAAAGCATGTGCTTGCTGCCATTTTGAATCAACAATCACTTCAAAAAGTTACGAGATCCTCTTTTTCTTACAGCCAATGACATTGTAATTAACTCTTACACCTCGTTTGCCAATTAATGATATTTTTTTAAAGAAAGATCATTTTTGTCATGGTTGACACTGCTATTAGGTATTTAAAAATTATTTACTATGCCATTAATCACAGTGTTAAACGTTGGGTAAAAAATGAAATAATGAGCTCTGCGCTTCTGAAGCACACATCTAGTTGATTGAATTTATCCTATAAGCCAAATATTTATAGTGTAAAAACATTGTAAGTTGTATGTATACTTACAACGAGTGCCTTGAGGATTCTAGGCAGATCTAGTATGGCTGAATAAATAACAAAAATGGCCTCCTCCACAAATTGTGCTCTTCCAGAGCATGACTTCATATTTCTGCAAACTTATCAGTTACTTATGTACACGTCACAATTTTTTTTTACAAACATTTGATTTTGCTCCAGAGCACTCCAGGAAATGACCTGATCATCCTCTGGAACTGTTCTTGTCCTCATTGGACCAACATCCTTTCAAGAATATTATACACATACCTTGCTTAGTTCAAGAGACGCAGTCTCGAGTAAAAAAATCTCTCTGCATAAATAAGATTTATTATTTAGTCTTAACCTCATTGTAATAATCTTAAAATTTCAACTCAGATATGCAGCCATCAAGAGGTGCACATCTCACATGACAATGATAGGGTAACTCTCAGTTCAAAACCCCCCACCCCTCCCCTCCCTTCACAAACCCTTTGGCTCTTTGCGCTTAAGTTCTTCTATTGGAAACAGTATCTAAGAAAATGAAAAGGCCTTGCACAAACTTGATCCTTGTAGAGTAAACTGTCATTGGTTTACCTCCACAAATGACATCAAAATTATTGAAAATAAAATAATACTGTTACTGTTGACACATGTTGAAACGAAAGTACATATCACATTACATAATGAAAACTACTACATAATATTGTGCCTCTGTAATTTGGACACTCTTCGCCCTAGGAAGTCTCCAACTCAAAACTTTTGTGTTTTTGGCATCAGGTAGGTAACCATGCAACGAAAGTAGCATTTTTCTCCAAAGGAACCAAACAGCATTGACGTCACAGTGACTCAAAATTCATGTGGCATAACACGTGCTAAAGACTCTGGGAAATTTTAATTATTAGAGCATGTCGAAACGTCCTAGCACTACCACCATAAATTTTGCCTCAACATGACGTCACCAACCACCAACTCCCTCAGCCCCACTGGGCGGCCAGTGAGTATAAGGACCTGAGCAGCTCCACCGCCCTGCTGTCAGACGAGGCCAGCGCCAGCTCCTCCGAACTGGTGGGCTTCTTGCTGCCGTACTGCGGCAGCACTGTGGAGAACACCGGGTCCGTGATGAAGGCCGTGTACGTCGTCGCCGCCGTGCTCAGTGTGGTCGGCCTCTTGGTCGTCGTCGACGTGGTGGTGGTCGAAGCAGCACGGTCTCGCACTCGCGCTGCTGCAGACGACGTCGACGACGACTCGCTGGTGGAAATAGTGCTCGACTTGACGGTCTTGTGGACCGTCCTGCCCACGAGCCGCGAGTGTTTCCTCTTGGCCGAGGCGGCGCTGCTGCTGACGGGGACGCTCGTGGCGGCGGTCTCGGGCTTCGAGGTCGTCGTCGTGCTGGTCGTCGTCGTGGAGGGCGTCGTGCTCGCGGAGTGGCCCTGCCGGCCCTGCCCCGTGCTGAGCAGCGCCTCCAGCAGCTGGTCGCGGACCTCCTGGGCGTTTTCCTGCGCTCCCCGCTGGTCGTTGATGTTGTTGTTGACGAGCAGCAGCACAAGCCGCCGGATCGTCATGTTGGTTTCGGCCTCCTTGAGCATATCCATGAGCATGTCCGCCATGGTCGCGTTGAGGTGGCCGAACATGGCCTCCGCGGCCGCCACCATGGTGCGGTTCATGGCCATGGGCGTGGTTGCCGACGAGGCGTCCGCCTGCTTGCCGCTGGACGTGCTCACGCTCGAGGTGACCGACATGGACACGGAGCCCGTCGGCGTGGATCTCGGCACGGTTCGGGTTGACGTGGCCGGGGGGTGGCTGCTGGTGCTGACGGTGGACGACGGCGCGGCCGTGGGGTCGGAGGGAAGCACCCAAGTGCTGCTCTGGCTGTCCTCTGGGGGCGCCGTCGGCGGCACCATGCTTCTTGAAGTGCTGCTGCTTGGGGAGGTGGACAGGGGCATCCTGGGGTGGTACGTCGTGATGGTTGACGCCGTGGTGGTAGACGGTGCGGCCGATGTGGTCGTGACGGGGACGGTGGCGCGCGCCACGCTCTGCGACACGCTCTGCGCCCTGGTCGTCGGCGACGTGGTCAGCTCGTAGTTGATCGACAGCGGGTTGAGAGGCTTGTGCGCGTTGAGCGTGTCCTCGGAGGGCAGTCGCTTCGGCTGCTGCGGCTGCAACTGCTGCTGCTTGTTGAAGTCGAAGTTGGTGGCCTTCCCGGAGCGCAAGTTGACGCGGTAGCGCGTCCTCGTCGTGTCGAGGGACTGCTCCAGCAGCCTGGACGCGGACGACGGCGCGGGGACGGTAGGCTTTGCCAGCAGCTTGGCCTGCGCCACCGTCACCGGCACCTGGCCCGGCGCCTTGGTTGGCTTGGAAGTCAGTGTCTCAGGCGTCGTGAGGTACTTGGCGCCGCGGAAACGCACCTCCTGCGTCGTCGGCGTGGGGGTGGTTGTTGGCGGCGGCGGCCTCGGCGTCGTGGTGGTGGTCGTTGTCGTCGTCGTGGTCGTGCTGGAGGTCGTGGGGCTTGGAGCGGTGGGTGGCAGCCTCGCTCTGACGGCGACGGTGGACGACGCCGCGGGTGTGTGCGTGGGGGTGACGAAGAAGGGACCCGTGTACTTGGGCTTCTTGGTGGGGCCCACCGTACTGGCGGGGATGGAGGGTGCCTCTGGCGCGGAGGGTCCTGAGGGTCCTGAGGGCGCAGACTGCAGGATCTTGGCTGACTGCACGGGGGCTTGGTCGCGGCCTTCGCCGCCTGCGTTGCGGGGCGCGGCGACCGCGTCGTGGTTTGCTGCTGTTTGGGAAGTGACTTGGACACGGGCTTGGGGGTGGGCCTGGGGGTGGGTCGAGTGGTGGGCCTGGGGGTAGGCTTGGCCGTAGCTGCTCTTGGCGTGGTGGGCTTGGGCGTGGGCTTGGGGGAAGGCTTCGCGACGGGCTTGGGCGTGGTCGAGACCAAGTTATTGTCTCTGGCCACGTACGACTGGCTGCCCGCGGCAACCAGGACTGGGTCGCCGACGGCGTTGCTGCCGGTGGCGGTGGGCGCCGACGGGGCGGACGGCGCCGTGAGCGACGCGGACCTGAGCTGCACGGTGCTGTTGTCGGGCTGGTGCGGCAGCACGACGGCGAGCTGGTTCAAGTCCTCGGGGACGAAGGATCCGAGGGCGTTGTCGATCTTCTCCAGGTTTTCCTTGGGAATCTCGTGCTTGCCCGTGGGCGGTGCCGTGGTGGGTTCTGTGTGCGGCGGTGATGTCGTCGCGTCCGTCTGCGAGGGCGCTGCGGGGGTGGTGGTGACGCCGGGCGGGGTGACGCCCCTGGCGCGCAGCACGTCCGCGCCGTAGGGGCTGTACTTGGAGTTGTTCTGGAAGCCGCCGTAGCGCGGCAGCCCGACGTCCTGGACGCCCCCGGCCGTTGGGAAGTACGACACGTCGTCAGAGGACGGCGCCGACGGCCCGGACGGCCCGGACGGCCCAGACGGCGGCCCCGTCCAGCTCTCGTTGAGCGCGCTCAGGATGGCGATGAGGCTGTTGACGTCCGCGGCGATGGAGGTGTAGTTGGCCGAGTCGGGCGCCACGGTGGGCGGCGCCGTCTTGCCCTGCAGCGAGGAGTAGTAGCGGCTCTGCGAGTCCAGCAGCGACTCCAGGCGCTGCAGCGGCGCCTCCAGGTCGATGGCGGGGAAGTCCCCGGCCGCGAGAGGGTTGGGCGGTGGCGGCTGCGTGCTGCCTGCCTCCTGCGGCGCGGTGGGCGCGGTGGGCGCGGTGGGCACGGTGGGCGGCAAGGTGGTGGCCGCCTCGGTGACGGTGGTGGTGGCGAAGATGATGGGCAGGTAGGGCGCCGGACCCGCCGGGGTCACCTCGTACAGCTTGCTCTTCCGGGCGCCGCCGCTGCCGCCCTTGTTGGTCACGTCCGAGTACTCCAGCACCTCGTCGCTCTCCTTCGTGACGGAGGCCTCGTCCGCGGTCGTGGTCACGCTGGGGTCCGACGAGGACGAGGCCGACTCCGTGGAAGCAGTGGTGGTCTCGGCGGAGTCCTCGTCGGGGCTGACGGTCGTGGACGACGGGGGCGGCTCGGTGGGCCGGACTTCGGCGAGGACTTTCCGGAAGGACTCGGGGTCCTCCAAGTAGGCCGACAGCGCGCGCGTGAACACCTGCGCGAGCTCGCGGAGGTCGGCGTTGTCCGCGATGTTGGGCAGGTCCTTGGTCTCCTTGTTGATGGCGTTCGACAGCTCCACCTCGGGCCGCTCGGGCTCCACGATGCCTCTGCTCTGCTCGCTGCGCAAGTCGTTGCTGGGGTTCAGGTTGATGGTGGGCTTGTTCTCGGCGAGCAGGTCTAGCGAATACGGTGTGGTGGTCTGCTCGTACGGGGCCGTGGTGGTGGTGCTCGGCGTTTCTGTCTCCGCGAACAGTGACGAGTACGAGTCCTTGGTGAGCTGCGTCAGCGAGGCGGGCAGGTTCTCCGGCTCGCTGTCCTGGCCGTTGGCAGTGAAGTCGGTGAAGTTGACGCCGTTGGCGTGCGGCAGCAGCAGGACGTCCGAGATGGAGATCTTGTCCGGCGTGGCGGTCTCGGCCGGCAGAGCAGTGGTGGGTAAGTCTGTGGCCGCGGTGTTCTCGACCTCGTCCTCCGGCTCTGCGAAGTACAGCGCAAGCGACTGCAGGGATCCGGGGCCCGAGGTGCCAGAGGCCGAGGCCGCGACGGCGCTGCCGTTGCGGTTGGCGGCGGCATCCTCACCCTCTGGCGAAGGCGCGCTGAGCTCCAGAGTGCGCAGCGAGGCGTGCTGCAGGGTGACGCCCGGCGCGCTGGTGTCCGAGGCCGTGGTGCCGGCGGCAGTGCCGGCTTCCTCGAGCTGCGTGGTGGCGGTTGTTCCGGCCTCGGTCGTTGCTTGTTCCGTGGGCTGGGCGGACTGAGAGTACTCCACGGGCTGGGCGGGCTGCGAGGGCGTCACCGCCTCTGCCGCCGTTGTGGCCGAGGCCTGCCGCGCCGGCTTGGGGATGATCCTGGCCAGGGTGATGTAGCGCGTGGTGGGCGGCTCGCGAACGCTCTCCCTGGTGGGCTGCTGCGGCGGCAGCGACTGCCCCGGCGTGGCGGCCGAGGTCGGGGTCGTCGGGGCCACGCTGCTGTACGAGGCCGTGCGCGACCGCTGCAGCTCCACGTACTTGGTGGAGTACGTCGGCGTGGCAGGGTTCAGCGCGTCGTCGGGCGTGGCGGTGCGCGCGCGGAGCGAGTTCTGGTACTTGCGGTAGAAGGGCGTGGGGCCGTTGGGGTTGGCCGTGGTGGAGGCCTGCTGGTCCAGGTTGCGCTGCCGCTTGATCTCGGCGTACGTCTTGCTGTTGGCCTGCAGGCGGTAGATGTTGGCGGGCGTGGTGGAGGCCAGGCTGAACTGGCTGGGCGCCTCGGACACGACGCGGGACTCGAAGCTGGGCGCCTCGATGTACTGCGTCTCCAGCGGGTGGCCGATGCCGAAGCTGAAGCGACTGGAGCCGCGGCCCGTGGCGAAGGAAGCCGTCTCTGCGAGCTGCTGCCGCTCCTGGGGGTCCTGCTGGTGGTGGTCGTCGCCGGCCGTCGGCCTGGAGTACTGCTGCTGCTTCTTCTTGGGCTGCAGCTGCGGCGTGCTGGTGACCTTGAGGTAGGGGTTGACGCCGGGCGGGTAGTTGGGCTCGTCGTCCTTGCCTCCGCGCGTGGACGTCCGCGGCCCGTTGGACTCCGCCGTGGCGAACGTCTCCCTGTTGCGCGCGCGCCCGCCGTCGTCCTGGTCCTGGGCGTTCTTGTTGAAGCGGAACTGGCCCTGCACGCCGCGGCCGCGCGGCACGGCAGGTGACGAGGCCGACGAGGCCGTGGACGACGTGGCGAAGGTCGTGGTGGAGGTCGGCGACGTGGGGGAGACGCGGTTGCGGCTGCCGAAGGCCCCGGCGTCCTGCTGCCTTCCCGGGCCGCCCGGCCCGGTGACGAAGGTCTGCAGGTTGCTGTTGCCGTACCTGCTCTGCTGCTGTTGCTGTTGCTGCTGCTGCTTCTGCAGGAAGTTGCGGTTGCCGTTGAAGGTGAAGCCGTCCCCGCCCGGCGCCGTCTGGCCGTGGAAGGTGCGCGAGCCGCGCTCGCTGTCGGGGTTGGCCGTGGACTGGAAGTTGTTGCTGTTGAGCGCGTCGTAGAAGTTGCCGCTGCTGCTGGTGGACAAGAACCCCCCGCCGTTGGACGGCCCGGACGGCGCTGACGGCGGCCTGCTGCTGAAGCTGGTGGGCGCGGTGGGCTGCGGGCTGTGGCGGCGCTCCGTGCTGCCGATGATCCTGGTGTAGGCCGAGTCCGTCCTCGGCGTGGACGGCGCGAGCTGTGCCGCGCGCTGCTGTTGCTGCTGCTGCTGCCGCTCGCGCACCGCGCCCTGGTCCACGGCCAGCTGCTCGGCGCTGGACTCGTACAGCCCCTCCGACTCGGCGCAGTCCACCTTGAACCACCAGTCGCAGATGAGGTGCGACTGGCGGAACACGGTGCCGTTGGGGCACAGGAAGGAGATCTTGCGGCCGCCGTCGCAGATGTGGAACACCTGCAACACGAGTCGCCCGCTTACAAAAGTGCAAACTGATGGACTTGAAGAGTTTTTAAATTTCAACTTGTTGTATTTCCCTCGCCGCTTTCCTCCTGGTACTGTAACAACACCTAAAAAAATCTTGGGAAACAGTGAAGATTAGAAGAGAGAAAGAACATGACAAGAAGAACGAAAACGAAAAATGAGGCGTTGGTCCGCTTGCCTGCTGCAAAAAAATAAAAACAAAGCAAAGCAAAGACTCCATGAAGGACAAGGGCGAAGAGCGGTACGTGTGGTTCGCGGCGTTCGCGGTGACCGGCTGTGACGCTGCAGGCCAGCTGGCCGTCGCCCACGCCTCGCCCACGCCCTGCCCGCGGAAGTAGATAAGGAAAGGAAGGGTCCAGCGGGCCGTCGCCCTGTCTCTCTCGCACTCACGGGGCGATGCATAAGGGTGCGAGGGAGACAGAGAGCAGGGCACCAGCTGAACGGCTAGGCCAGGCGCTCGGTCCGTCACGACAGGAGCCATCGTCCGGCCCGGCGAGCCCGTCGCCCCTCCATCTTCCATCGCGCTCTGTCTTTCCCCGTCTTTCTTTGCGCCCCGCCAACAAAGCCGCCGCCACGCCGCCACTGCGGGCACTGCAGATTCATCCAATATATGATAATTCGAGACTTGCGCGGGCGGAGAAAGTGGCAAGGCCGTGCGTCGCGGTGCAGCGGCACTGGCGCACGCCCCGGCTGCACCTGGAGGGGCTTGGTGGCGCGCGGGACGAGGCAAGTCCGCCAGTGTCGACAGGGGACCCGACAACGCCGCGGACAGCTTGTGGTCCTCCGGGACGTCCCCCGGGACGCCAGACGCCAGGTCGTGAGAAGATGAATTATAGCCATCACGCCACGCCGCGCCACGCCAGGCCGCCACTACACTTGGCGGACGGGGCCGTCGGGGGCAACAGGCTGCAACAACAGAGATTTGAGCAGGAAACGAAACGCGCGGCAACCAGAAGCTGCGGCCGGAGGGCGGATTCCGAGGCGTTGCCTCGATGCTCTGTCTCGCTCGCACTCGTGGGGGCGGTGGCCTTCCCCCAGGGGTGCGAGAGAGACGGATGCCGTTTCGGAATGAGCCCGCCGCGGGAGGGACTTGTTGCAGCTTCAGTTTGTCATCGTGTCCGGGGGAGGGAATGCACTTGGACGCGGACACGCGGACGGCAAGCCGGATATGTTGTGTCGGTGTGTGTGCGGGGAAGAGGGGGGGGGGGCGTTCGGGGATGCATACTACACGCCGCGACTTGTGTAATGCGGGGTCCTGGGAACGCCCAGGACGTCATCGAACGCCGGCAGCGGCTTTACGTACGCCCCCCGCCCCCTGCGGTCAGATAGCAGGCAGCCCTTCCTTCCCGCCCCGCCAGCCCCGCCAGTCGCACACAGAACAATGCGATCCGCATCGGCCACACGTGTGCCTGGCGTGCCCGGCGTGCCCGGCGTGCCCGGCCCCCTGCGCGCTCTTGGCTTCTTCGCTTCGCCCCACGTGCACGCGCAATCACTGTAAAATGTCGCACGCGGCGCGCGGGGGAGGCGATAGGGCTTCGTGAATAAAACACACACAGACACACTCGCGCGACTTCCTTCCCCCTTCCACGCCGTTTCCGCGCACAGCAGCTCCCGTTTGACGTGGCGGGGCTGTTTCACTGTTTCATCACTTTCATCAGATGCCCTTTTCTTCTTCTTTCCTTCCCCCCTTTCCCTTTTTCTGGTCAGCGCGGCGGCGCGGCGGTGCAGTGTTTTACTCGGGATTCGATTGGCGGCACGCGATCGGTCCTGTGGGGGAAGGGTGGGGAAGGGGCGCCGCAGAGCACCGCGATGTAATCGGGCCGGTGACCGCACCCCGACGCACCGCGACGACGACGGCCAGGCGGACGCGGGGACAGCAAACGCCCTCCCCGAATCCGAATCCGAATGTGTCGCCGAGGCTGCTTGACGGCGGTGATGCGACGCGGCACAGTGGGCCAGAAGACCATCGGAGGCGGCCAAAACACTAAACGCGTTCTGAGCTCCAGAGTAGCTAAACAGGCCTCGAACCGAACGTGTGACCCCACCAATGGATTGCTCTCCGAACGATGAATCCATTGGTGGGGTCACACGTTCGATTCGAGTCCCATTTAGCGACTCTGGAGCTCAAAACGCGTCTAGAGTTTTGGCCGCCTCCACCGGTCTTCTGGCCCACTGTGCGCGGTGCGGTCCAAGCTCCAGCTGCTCAAGCTTGGCGGCACGGCGGCGGCGTGGCGGCGGTTTGCGGCCTGCGCCTGCCTGCGCCGCGGCGACGTAACGTCTTCGTGTCTCGTCGCGTCGCCGCCGCGGACTGCAGTGGAGTGGAGTGCCGCGGAGTGGCCGTGTGCCGTGTTTCCGAACGCAGACCGACTGTACACGGAATTTGTAACACACGGGCCGACCGGCGGAGCGGCGGGGCGGCGCTGTGAGTCACGACAATACACGACAGTCGCCGCGGCCCGCGGCCGCCGCGCTGCAGTCTCCGCTTCTCGTCCGCATCCGCCGCGCGCGCATCGCCCCCCACTTCCCCGAACGCTTCGCCTTCAACCTTCCACTTCCTCCGAGAGTCGCTGTCGTCGCTCTGTCTCTCTCGCACCGATGCGGGACGCCCCACGAGTGCGAGAAAGACAGAGCGACAGAAACGACTCTCGAAATCAGTCTGCTGCGTGCTGAAGCAGCTGCAGCCCCGACCAAGAGAACCGCTGCCGTTTCGGCGTTCACTCGCTTACCCCACCGGGTCCAATTTACCCCGCTTTAGACTACTCCCGACTCCACTTCTCACACTTCCTCGGTCACCACTCCCTCCGCGTCGGCCTCAACTTACCCCGCGCCTGCCTTCCGCTTACCCGCTTCACTTACCCGGCCCGGCGTCCCCTTACCCCGCTCCCCCTCCACTCGGTGCTCGCGGTCTGCCGAGCGATTCAGAAGATCGTCGTTCTGTCTCTCTCGCACCCATGGGGCCCTCCGTACGGGTGCGAGAGAGAGCGGATCACTCGGCGGGCAACAAGACAGGGAAACAAATAAGGATCTGGACGATAAGATGTACGGCTGGATCGGCCGGGAGATCGGAGGGGGAGGGGGGGTGTCTTTCCCCGCCATTTCTCCTGCATTATTCACGAGGCCCAAACCGCGAGAGATGCTCGCTGCTGCGCGCTGCTCCCGCCACACGAGTGCCGGCCCGGAGGGGCGTCACTCTGTCTCTCTCGCACTCACGGGCCGCCGCGGCGGGTGCGAGAGAGACAGAGCGACGAGACGGTCCCTCGAGGGGCCCGGAGGGGCAGAGGAGCGCGGCGAGGCAGGCTGTCTCTCTCGCACTCGCGCGGCGGTCCGTGAGTGCGAGAGAGACAGCGCGACGGGGAACGGCGTTCGCGGAATGGGCCTGCAGGGCGAGGGCTTCGTTGGCCAATTTCCTGCAAGAATGGCATGGCATGGATGAATGGTGCGGAGCCGTGCGACTCGGCATCGGGGAAAGGGGGGGGGGCGTTTAGCAAGGCATGCTCGTCTATTACCAATCACGCTGCAGAGCACTGTGAGCACTGCGGAGATGCACCCATTACCCGAATGACTAACGGGCGGAGGGCGTCGACGGGGTGTGGATGGCGCCAGCCAGCAGACTCATTCCGAGAGTCGTTTTCGTCGCTCTGTCTCTCTCGCACTCGCGGCCCGCGGCCTCCAGGACGCCCCGCGAGTGCGACATCGGCAGGGCGACGGTGCCTGCAGGCGGTGCCATCCACCGTCGCCGGCGTGATGTGCCGTGCCCCCCGGCCGTGCCCAGTGTACACGACGTCGCCGGCCAACACTGTCACTACACTGTCGCGGGGCGCGAGCCGCGCGAGCCAGCGGCGTGACCGGCAGGCCGTCGCCAGTCACTCCGCGGACGCCGCGTCGTGGGGTGGGCCGCGCCGCCGCGCCGCCGCGCCATGCATGCAAACTGCCCCCCCCCCCCCGCCCCTCCCCCCGACTTTCTTTGACCGGCAAATGGACAGCGGCGCGGCGCCCTTTTATAATCAGCGCTCCGAATTCCGTTCCGCGCAAGAAGTACCCTTTCACTTCTTTCTTCGAGTGTAGCCGCGCGTCTTTGTGAACGGCGGGGCGGTGGCCGACGAGTCTGTCTCTCTCGCACCCGCACGGGGCGCCCCACAGTGCGACAGAGACGGATAGCGACGGCCGCCTCACCCAGCCTCGCCGACCGTCATAACAGGAGCCGAGGAGGATCACCTCTGACCTGCGCGCCGCGCGCCGCACTGGACACCGAGGCAGGGCGCCGAGCTGCCCAAGAGGGCCAGGAGAAAGGACGACGGAAAAAAGCGTTCTGCGAGACGTTCCACGGCGCGTTCCGCGAGGCCTTCCAGGAGGCGTTGGCTGCGTTGGCGGCCACGCAGCGGAGAGCGCCTGGCGGACAGACAAGCCCGCAACACACCCGTGTTCGGCGGGGCGGCCCAGGCTCGACTTCGCAGGCGCGCAGCTCGAATAGAAACCTTGCTTGGCCCGGCCCTGATACACTGGAAACAACATTTAAAGAGAAAAAAAACACGCGGTGCATTGCTGCCTTCCATTGTGTCAGTCAGTGTGAGGTAGCCGGGTTATGGCGTTGCTCCACGGGAAGGCCACAGCCCCGCACCCTCTCTCTCACACCCACGGGGCGTCCCGCATGGGTGCGAGAGAGACACGACTATGCAGCGCACTGCAGCCTGTCATTTCCATCGGATTAGCAGCGAAAAGGAAAACATTGTTCGGCCGTACGCCGCACTCATGTGTTGTGTGTGCGTGTGTGTGCGTCCGAGTTTGAAACTCGCATCTCAATGAATGGGGCCGGTGACTCGGGGACGCGGGTTCGAATCCCGACGGGCGTCGCCTTTCTCTTCCCGCTTTCCGCGTTCCCGTCCCAGGCCACGCCCGGCGACGCCCGCAGCCGAAACGACCCCCCGAGGGTGTTCCGTCCCCAGGAGCCCCCGCAGCCCCGCAGCCCCGGGAGCCCCCGCACCTACGACAAAGGGCTGGCAAAGTTGCGTCGAGACACGAGCGGTTTTATCGCCGTCTGTGGGCCAAGCCGGCCAAGCCATGAATTTGCCGCGAAAAAGTGTTGGCCCGCAACGCCACGGCACGGCTCGGCACGGCACGGCACGGCACGGCACGGCCCGCGCCTCCCGGTCGGCAGTACATCAGCGTCGCGACGTGGCCGACTCGCGGCTGCATCGCAAAAACGAGCGATAAAGTCAAGCATAAATTAAGCAAACACCGCGGCAGGCCTGGGCTGCTCACCGCACGGCACGGCACCGCGCGCAGATGCAGAGCGCATAAAAATAAAAATCGGCGCTTCCTCAACATGATTGGGCAGTAAAGGCAATGCCGCCCGTGGCCCGGTTGGCCGCGCCTGGCCGCTAACCGAGCAGGGGGCGGGCACGACCAGCCCGACCAGGCCGACGAAACGAGGCGGACCGATGTGGAGGAGCTGCCACTACTCTTTTTATTTTCCCTGGTCACTACGATGGGAGAGGCGGCTGGACGTGGAACTGCAGTGGGGTGGCTCGGTTGCTCCGGCCACAGGCTTTGGTCGTTGTTGCTTCCGGTCAAAGCGACCAGGTTCATCTATCCCCACTGCACTGCACAACGCGACCAGTTCTACTTCGCGACAGGAACCGAAGGTTCGACGCCCGGCTGTCAATCTCAGAGAGCGCCTCGCCACGGCCGAAAGAAACAAGGGGATACTGCACCGACGTCGCGTCGGCTGTCTGCTCCGGTGCGGCGCGCCATTTTATTGCTCCTCGCCAAATATAAATCAAATCCTTCCGAGCGTCGTGCGCCGTCGGTTGTTTTTCTTTGTTTTGGGTTCGCCTAGCCTCAGTCGGCTTTAGCCCTGGCTCAGCCATTTCACTTCCGTCCGTCTCCTCCTCCGTCTCCCCCCCCCTCTCTCTCTCCCTCTGCCCCGGGAGCAATCACGACCGTCAGGCATTCAGGGCACGGACGAGCTTTAATTACTGTCGCGGGGCAAAATCCCAGGCGAGCCGAAAAGACGAGCCGAGCCGAGCGCTGACCAGCACAGCCGGGCCGAACGAGCCGGGCCGAGCCGAGCCGGGCCAGGCCGGCGCCGTGATGAATGAAGAGAGCAGCTGCATAGTCCTTCCCCGTCCTTCCCTCTCTCCGTCCCGCTCAGACGCGCAGCACGCGCCGGTTGCGTGACCGCCGAAACGGATCATTTCACGCGTCGCAACAAACTGACACCGCGCCGGCACTGGTAGGGCACGACTGCGAGGCGTTGCACTCACACACACTCACACACACGCACATGCCGACGGCTAGTCGGTTCAATAGAGACCTACTTGACCTTTGAGCGCAAACGGCTCCATCAGTCGCACCAGATTCAAACCTTAACGGACGCCTTCGAGGACGGACGAAAGCTCTCTGGTGGCACCGCGGCGGCGGTCCGAGGATCGAATCCCGGTGGCGGCGCCACCGTTTTCTTCCGCCTTTTTCTGGCCGCGCAACACCCCGACGCGAGACGCGCGACGCGACGAGGAGTGCTCAGCTTTTACTGCCCACTGTGCGGCCGCGGCCCTCGACCAATCAGCGGCCGCCAATCAATCGGCCGAGTCACGAAAATTGTCGCGCCGCGTCACGAACACCGCGACGCCGCGCGTGCTTCCGGGGCCACAGCGACACACAGTGGGCCAGAGGACCGGTGGGGGCGGTCGAAATCCCGGACGCGTTTTCAGCTCCAGCGTCGCTAAATGGGGCTCGAACCGAACGTGTGACCCCACCAACGGATTGCTCTCCGAACGAGGAATCCATTGGTGGGGTCACACGCAACATAATGGTGGAAACGAGAAGTGAATGAAAAAAGGTTAAGTTAAAAGGCTCTGCCTGCAACCTGCGCTTAGGAAAAACGGCAAAAGACACTCAGAAACAACCCGGCCGGAGGATATTAGCTGCGCGAGGGAAGACACTGAGAAAATGGGAAAACAGGCAACGAAGCTAACAAAAAGGGCAGAGCAAACAATGCTGTTGGTCGGTTGGCACTCACCTGGCAGTCCGTCTCCAGGTCGGCGTAGTAGCCCGCCCCCTTCACTTTCCTGCAGCTGAAGCTGGTCTGCGGGATGGAGGGCAGCACGGGGAAGTCCACGCCGGGCCGCCCCATCACACCTGCCGACGGACAAGCAGACACGGCGGCCGGGCCGCCGGGTTAGCACTTTGCGGAAAGCGGCGCACGGTGGTGGTCCGAAGACAGCGGGTCGTTTGTGCGGGTGCGAGAGAGACGGAGCGACGAAGGCACTGCAGTGACGCGACGCTGAGGCGAAGACGCGGAGATGGCAATCAATACCGCAAAGTGTTATGCCAAGTGACTGGCATCGCTCTGTCTCTCTCGCACCTCCACGGCACGGCCCGTGAGTGCGAGCGAGACGGCACCACGGATCGGCGCTGTGCTCGTCGTGACATCCCAACTATTCTCCCTCCCGGGCCTTGCAGGCTTCCAGGCGACTTCCAGGCCTTACAGTGTGTCGGGGACGCCTTGCCTTCCGGACCACCCACTTTCATTCTTCTTCTGGCGAAAAATATTCACACGAAAGAAAAAGAGGAGAAACGATAGAGTGTGACAACGACAACAATGAGGGAGGGACTGCTCGCGTAACACCGCGCGGTGGAGGTGGCAAGCCGCGGCAGCCGCGCCGCGTCGGACGGTAGGCCAGCCGGCAGGCCAACCGGCAGGCCAGGAGTCTTGCAATGAGAGGAGGAAGGAGCTTCGATTGTTCTCACTCTGCATATCACACTCACACACACACACAGAGTTAAATATACAGACATGCATAGGATGCGGCACAGTTATGTTGTACCGCCCCGCCCCGCCCCGCCCCTTCCGCGGGGCGCCAAGTGGACCGCGCCACCCTCGATGTGCTTCGACCCTGACCCCGATACCTCGATACCTCGAAACCTCCGCCCCGACACCGCACTACAGTATTTCAATCTCCCCGCCGACACTTTCATCGTGCCACGCGTGAAACTCTCCAATCTTTCTTCTTTTTCTTTTTACTCGCGTTGCTACAGCTGGAAGGAACGTAAAAAAATAAAGATGAATAAATAATAGGTCTCGTTGCGATAGGCCTCAATCCTAACTAGCTTTTCCCCGCCTCGATGACGAATCGACGTGCGAACGCGGACAAATGGTTCCACGTATCACAGCGCGGGGCCGCGCGCGGAGCGCCCGTTCGCTCTGTCTTCCTCGCACCCTGACGGCATGGCCCGTGGGTGCGAGGGAGACAGAGCGACGACGCGGCCCCGCTAATGGCGGCCCCGGTGGCGCTCGTCGAGCTCGTCAAGATCGTCGCCGGCGTGGCGGCGTGGACCTTCATTTGGATTCGGAGCGGTCTCTCCGAGGAGACTCTGTCTCTCTCGCACCCCCACGGCACGCCCCACGAGTGGAGACGCGGGGAGACCGTCGCAACCGTTCGGAATCAGCCTGCAGCAGGCCAAAGGGCTCCGGCGGAGGGTTCTCGGATGACGAGTAACGGCCCTTCGATACCCTCGGTGAACCCTTCGGCCCCAGATGCCCTGTGGACGTCGAGGACGTCGTGGTCGTGGACGTCCGTGCCGACGGGGCGAAGGACCGTGGGACCGGCACCAGGCTGCTCGCACCACGCGCACCAACCACCACGCCGCACCAAGCACCGAGGCAGCCGTGGCATTTCGCAGTGCAGGGCCGGCAGGGCGCACTCCCCGACACTCCCGCCATCGCCATCCCATGTCGGGACGAGATTTAGACGCCACACGCGTCGTACTGGCCCTTAGCACCTCCTCGGTACACGCAAAAAAAACAAGCAAGAAAAAGAAAACACAAAACAATAATAAATCACAACCACAATGATGAACACAAGTAAAACACTGCTATAGAGAAAACCATCCCGACACCTCACATGCAAAAAAGAAAGTTTACTTTGAATCCACGATAGTAATGTCGATGGGGTGTGTCCAAAGGGTGTGTCACTTTCCGAATGACGGAATGGTGCGTGTTGTTGTTGTTGTTGTTGGCCTGCTCTACGTCGTTAGTAAACAGCGCGGCCAGGCTGGCGCGGGCCCGACCTGGCCTGGCCGGGGCAGCCTGGGTCATACTCACAGTCTGGGCAACCTCTTGGGGCTCGGCCGGCTCGGCCGTATTTAGCGGAGGTCTCGTCCTGCGTGTCCTGCGTGTCCTGGTTTGGCGCAGACGATCGCCGTGCGTCGCCAAAGTCCGTCTCAGTCGCGTCTGTTTGCACATTTTCGTCTCGTGAGTGAGAAACAGGAGAGTCCTTTTCGCTTGTCGCGTCGTCCGTCGTCCGCCGGTGTGGTTGTCGTTCCTGCGGGGCGTCCTAGTCAACAAGTACGGGCGGTCCGAAGCCACCGCCTCCGCGTCGCTTCGCCTGCGTTCCCCGAGGAGGAAAGGGCACACACTGCAAAGACTGGGCAGGGGGAAAATGAAACACGGGTTTGCATGGACAACTCACTCGCGGCGAGTGCGTTTCAACAGCTTCCTCGGCGCCGCGCGACCGGCGGCGCCAAAACGCCGAACAAAAAACAACGACGAAAAAGTGGCGGTCCGAACCGCGGCGACGTCGCGACGCCCCCTGCATCCGACACTGCCAACACGTGACGAAACGGATCGGGGCCCGGCGCCACGCCACGACGTCGGTACGGCGTCGGTGACTCCCCCGATTTCCGTGTGCTTCCCGCCACACCGACTTACAACACGCAGGGCTGCGTCCGCGGGGGCGGCGCGGGGGTCGCCTGCACTGCCAAGGCACGGCCAAGGCACTGCCAAGGCACGGCGGGGCAGAGCGCGGCGCCGCGTTGCTTTCGGACGCAGCCCTCCCCGCCTCGGCTTTGTTTTGGCGGGTGCCCAGGCAGGCGTGACGGCCCGGCCCGGCCCGGCTAGAGACCTGGGGATGCGTTGCGAATCGAGACGCCGCGAGGAAGGAAGGAAGCGCCGCGCCAGGGAGGGGGAGAGAGAGAGAGGGGGGGGGGCAGTGACCAGCGCGGACCGGCGCGCGGAGGGACCACGGACGGGCACACACGAAAGGTCAGAGGTGTCCGCAAGAGACTTGGCGCGCCACTATAAGTATCGGACGACGACGCTTCACTTGATTTTCAATTACGTCGTTGCATCGGATCGTCGCGGGGGGGGGGGGGCGTCGCATTCCCGACACACCGGAAGGCGGTTTGCTCGCGGATTAGCATCTCGGGAAACGAAAGCAGACTGTAAAAAATGGCACTTAAAAAAAATTCTTTTTAGGGGGAGGGGGGATTTTTCTGCAGTACAGCTCTGCAATAAGGCGCATAGAAACAAAAGCAAATCACGGACGGCATACGGTCAATTTTGATCAACAAACCGCGCGCGGTGACTTGGTTAATTTTCCGCCTTGGAGGCGGAGGTGCACTGGCCGACGAGGCGGGCACTGGAGCATACCGGGGCGCGGCCCCTCTGGGCGCGGCGCGGCGACCTGGCAAGGTGAAGGCCGGAGTAGCGCCGCACGGTCTAGTTGGCATCCCCGTTGGAGTCCGGGCCGGGCCGTGACATTCACGCCGTTTCGGCTTCCCGTCCGTCGCTCTGTCTCTCTCGCACCCAATCGCGGTGCGGCCCACGAGTGAGTGCGAGAGAGACAGAGATAGGCCGAGTCAGTCTGCAGCCGACGGCGCCTGGCGGGTAGGCAGTCCGTCGTGCGGCACCAGTCTTTCGCAGTGCTTCAGCCTGCTTGCCTGCTTTGCAGTGTTTCCCTTCCCCACAGTGTAGTGCCAGCAGTGCGATGCGAAACGAGGCGGGGCAGGCGGGGCAGGCTAGGCCGGCCCGGCCGTCCACCATTCACAGCCTCCAAGGCATGCAAGGAACCCAGTGTAGTCGCTGCAAGAAAGCAATTGTGAAACGCGCGGCCCAGCGGCCCGGCGGCACTCGTCCCTCCAAAAGCGCGCCCGTTTTCTGTTTTCGGCGCCGTTTCCTCACGGCGGGCACGCCACCGTAAGTGGCCGTAAGCACCGCGGGCCGAAAGAGAGAACAAAGGGATTATTAAAATTTGATCGTGCGTTAAAGGTGACGAGAAAGTTGTGGCGATCGGCGTGTACTACTCACCCTGGTACTCCTTGTACTCCACGACGTCGGCGTCCTCGTCGTCGGCGAGCCGCTTGGCGATGGAGGAGCTGGCGGACGCGGCGCTGTCCCTTAGAGGCCGCCGCGTGGAGGACGGCGTCGACGACGTCGAGGACGTCGAGGACCCCGTGGTGTTGATGTTGGCGCCGGCCGTGGTGGCCACGTACGTGTACTGCACGCTGTGGCTGCCGATGGGCTCCGCCTCCACGCGGTACGCCGCCGCGTTCATCCGCGCCGCCACCAGCGGCAGCGACGTGGACGCCAGCATCTGCGGGCAGCACACTGTCAGGCTGGGGAGGGGAACGCCGCGCGTGCAATTCGGGCGTTTGCAGTCTCCTCACTGGGGTTGGAAGTACCGGTGGGATTGGAATCCCGAAAACCTACGCTTCCCGATCATGCTCCCAAAAGGACCCACACAGAGGACCCACCCAGACAGGATCCCCCAGCGCGGAGAGGATCCCCCTGCCGGTCCGCGGCAGGGGCAGGCCGCCAGGGCGCCAGGGCAGCCAAGGTGATGCCTGTGGGGCAACGCGGTGCCGAAATGGAATGACAGAAACCGCATGCTAATTAGCTGGCCGGCAATTGTTCTACAGTGGAGGCCCCTACAGTGGAGTGGAGGGGGCGCCGCCGGCCCGCCGGCCCGCCGCGCGGACATTAGCGCGCACGCTCTGCTCCACACGCCACCGCAGTCACTGCAGCCGCCGCGTGGAAGTTGAAACAAAACGGGACTGGCCCGGGTTCAAATACCGGCACACAGGGTATTTTAATTATTTTTCCCGCTTTTCTGTCGTTGATTTCTTTTCCTTCTCTAAGCGACAGGCAACGACGTGATCAGCCGCGGCTCGGGCCGGTCTTCCTGAAGGGAGTACCGACCGGCCTGCAATAATTAACTCGAAGACGTACAAGGAGGCGCACCGGCTGCCCTGGGCTGCCCTCACGGCACGCCCCATGAGTGCGAGAGACGGCATGAGTTGGCCGGGGCGTCGGCCCTCTCCGTGCTGACCGGGACGCGGGACGCCCTGCTGGCTGGCAGGCTGGCTGGCTGGCCTGGGCACCGCACTAGTGGGGCGATTGTCCAGAGGCAAGGCCGGCCCCGGGGGGGGGGGGGACGTGAATGCAACGAGGCTTGCAGACGCCCTGCTGTCGTTCAGTTCCGGCGGGGCTCCCTGACGAAACAGCGGCAGGGGGAGGCGAGGGGTGGCAAGTTCATTGAAAGGAGGAGAGGGAGGGAGAAAAACAGCGACCACGCGAGCCATGACAAGTTTTAAGTGGTGTCAGCCAGTGGAAGGCTGACAGCCAGGCAGTCCACCATCCAGGTCGGCAAAAGAAGACCGGCATCAACGATAAATTAATGATCCAAAAAGATCACATGAGCAAAAACGAAAAGTCAAACGCTTCTGGTTTTTTCCTTGTTTACTTTCTCTCGGTGTTTTGCAAAGGAGCCGGGCGTAAGTAGTTGTGGCTTTTATCTGAGAGCCGCCACGTTTTTGCAGTGGCGGTGCGCGTGGTGGAGCTGGTCCTGAAGTTCACAGCGTGCCTGGTCCAGCCTGGCAGTGCAGTGGAGTCAGTCGGTCGGCTCGACTCCGGTCCGGCTGGACAAGCTGGACTCGCTGGACTGCAGTGCACTGGGCAGCCCGCGCTGACATTCGCGCATGGCGCTCGCTCGCCCTCCTCTTTCTCCATCCTTCCTCTCCCTCCCTCCCCTCCCCGGGCCGAGATAGCGACCTTCTGCCTTTCTTTATCTCGTTTGCGAAACAACGGCCGGCCGGGCTGGCTGACGGCGACGCCACGGCGACGCCACGGCGACGCTGTGACGGCGCCGCGGTGACGCGCCGGGGAGGTGGAGGCTCACATGACGGCGGCGCGCTGGGGGGTGACGGCCGCGTGGCCGCGCGAAGATGACGGCACCACGCCGATTCCGAGCTGTCTCTCTCGCTCCCCCAGGGCCCTAGGGGACGCCCCCGGACGCCCCACGAGTGCGAGGGAGACGGAGACAGTCGAGGGAGGTGGCCGACAGACTGGCCAAGGTGACGGTTATTATCGCAACCTGAATGTCCGCTCGAGTGCGGAACCCGCTGAGGGACGGCGAGCTCAAAGCCGCGGCCGCGAAATCAAAAACGAACGTGTCACTGAAGCTGCGTTCAAGTCCGCTCTAAGTGTCGACTGGGGTTAGTCTAAGTCCGATCGCAGAGCGGTCGGTCGTTTCGGCTCCGTGACGTACGATTCGTTCGACAGGTGCCGGCCGCGGCATTCCCAGCCAGCGTCCTTCGCATTCGCTGTGTGTTCATTCCCACCGCGAACCTCGCATGCCCCCCCCCCTCCAGGCATGCCCCACTGACAAGTGCATCGGAACACTCACTCATTGGCGCCGTCAAGCCATTACTCACACATCGGGACTGGACTCCGCTCACGTCGCTCTGTCTCTCTCGCACTCGTGGGGCGCCCCGCACGGGTGCGAGAGAGACAGAGGGCCCCGCTTCCCGGTCGTGAGCCACGCGGTCTTTCTTTAGCCGACAAAAGGCAGACGGCGGCGAGGCGGTGCCAAATTCATTACTGCCGAGGAAGACGTTGAGCGGGGTGTGTTGCAGCACCGGCACACTGAGAGTCTCTCTGTCTCTCTCGTACCAACACGGGACGCCCCACGAGTGCGAGAGGGACAGAGCGACGGCTCAGTCTCCAGGATCGGCCGAGGATCCCCCGGGGACTCATAATGGGCCGATCACCGGGTAACCCATCGACCTGCTTGCGCTGCTCCCTAGTTTGCCGCTCGCAGGGACTGGACCAGGTCCGCGAACAGCGCACTCACCTTTGGAGCTTCGGTGGACGTGCCCCCTCCAGGGCGGGGGAGTATCGCCAGCAGGCCTGCGAACAGAGAGAGACAGCCGAGTTGAAAAATTGCACCCAATTTGGCTTTTTAAACCGCAATCAAGCAAACCTTTTTTTTTAAAAAAAAAAAATAAAATATATTTGAGATATTTTGACAACATTAGACGAGTGAAAATTTCTCTCTTGACATGGCAACCTTTAAAATGCACCTGAATTTTTTTTTGAAAGTAAATCCAGAGAGGTCTGAAATTTGGTGGCCAAAGAGGAAGTTTTCCAGGTGACGACGAACCCACACATTAAAGACTTCTCCCTCCACTCTTTCCTCGTCCCTCATGCCGCGGGGTCCGCGGGTCGGCGCTCTGGGTGCACGCCCTGGAGTGCAGCAGCCGGGCCGCGGCCGTACCGCCGCCTGCCGTGCCGGAGGTGCGAGAGAGACGGAGCGACGAAAGCGGTGTTCGCTCCTCCGGCCGGCCGGCCGCGTCCGAGAGCCATTATGTCTTTTTACTGCGGGCGTCACCGTAACATTGTTCGTGTGCACTGCACTGCACCGCACCGCACCGCACACAACGCAAAGAGCAGCCGATCCAGGAAGGCCGGCCCGGCCGAGAAGCGGCCCAAAGGCTGCGGATTGAAAGTGCAGCGGGTTTATTGGCACTTGGGGTGGGATCTTTCTTTCCCCGCCGGGCAGGGAAAAGTTGAGTTTCGGCGTGGCGCCGTACATGGCGGTCCTGGGTGCATCGGCGGGGCTAAACGGCACGGCGTCCTGCTCCACGCCAACCAGGGGCCAGAGGCGCTTCTTGCTCAAAGGCTCGAACCTAACCGGGAGGGCCAACAAGGGACCAAGGCAGCCCGCAATTAAGTCTGACCTTTGAATGAAACGACCACAAAAAACTTCCTGGTGCGACACTCTATGGACAGCAGCAGGCCGCTTCGGGGCGGGCCCCGCCGCCTGGGCGCCCTGGGCGTGCTAGGCACACCTGCACGCGGCCGCGCGGCGAGCCGCACCTGGAGAGGTGAGTCCGGGTCGGACCGGCCGGGCCACGCCGCGGAGTGCGGAGCGAGTACGGAGTACACCGGTTGGCCTAAGGTCAGTGTGCACCCACGGCGTCGTCCGGCGCCTGCAGGCCTCTCCAAGCCACTGGAAATGATTTTGTCCGGCCGTGAAAGTGGCCACCCCGCCCCGCCCCGCCCCGCCGTGGGCAAGCGCAGGCCAACGACCAGCGAACGGCCACCTGGTCATTACGTAGTCAGCGCGGCCAGGCCGGCCATCCCGAAAAAAAACCTCCAAAATATTGAAGTGTCGGAAAGTAGTGTAGCCGCCTATTCCTGATGAGCTGCGGCGTAAGCCAGGGGCCGCTCCACACCGAGCCGCGCGCGTCGCCCTCGTCAGGCACTCGACGTGGTGCGTGCCGCAGGCCTGCCAACGGGCCGACGCTAACCGCAGTCTTGCCGCGGAGCAGCGCAGCCGCGCCGAACCAGAACCCGCAATCAGGACTCGGGCGAAACGGAGGGACAGGCACGCGCCGCCGGGAGTTGAACCCGCGACCCGGGCGGCAGGTGCGAACGCGTGCACGTAGCGTCGGAGCACCGATGAAAGACGGAGCGCATATTTTGTTGTTCGTCGGGAGCACCACGAAAAGTGATGAAGAAGAAGAGGGGGAGTTACAACTCGATTTTTCCAAGTCTCAAACTTGCGAAAAAAAAAACCAAACTTAACGCCTAGGGGGGGCTTATCCTTCTATTCCATGACTCACGCCAAGCGATGTCAACAAAGCATCAGCGCCGCACGATGGCGTGCCGGCGTGCGTGGGTGGAGGCAAAGCTGCAAAAACACGCGAAAACGCTTTTGAAAGCCCCGCGCGGACTCAGCCGGCTGGCCGGCGGTCCGGAGTCTGGAGTCTGGAGTCCGGGGCGCCAAGCGTGCCGCGGCGAGGCGGCGTGTCTGCGCGACGTGAGAACCGCCGGGCAGGCGCATTGTTTTTGGCGCGAGTCAGGCGCACGCGCGGCGCACGGGCGGGCGGACAGCAGGCAGACAGACAGACATGCTGACAAACTGCGACGTGCGGGGACAGGCAGGCTGACCGACCGGTGCCGAGACACACATACATACACACAAAAAACTCACACACGCACACACACAGTGCGCGACGCTCGTCTCCGCGTGTGAGAGCGCCTGCCGACGGCGGGGGTAGGCAACACCAGCACACGTGTGTTCAACGGGACGGCCTACCCGGCAGGCGCTAGCCGTGCCCGGCAGTGGACGCACGCAGCGCCGCGCGCGCCGCGCCCCCGGAGAGCTACGGCACGTGTCGAAGCTGGGTGTGGTCTGCAGCGGGTGGCCACACACACACACGCACACACACAGAGTGCTCGAGTTCCCGCCGCCGTTTCCAGCACATGGGAACAAGCAGGCCTGCCCCAATAACACAGAACCGCCCCGCCCCGCCCCGCCCCGCCCCGGGCCGCGACGGCGGCAAGGAAATTAAGTGCGGCACACGCTAATTCCCATTACACGTAATAACGCAGTGACGAGATGGCTCCGCTTTACGAGGCGGCTCGGTTAGGGATGAGATGTTGCCGCGGTTACTGCTAGTACACCCTGCAAGGATTTACCATTCGGTTTTATTTTTCAGGGGAAAATCGGTATCAATTTAAGTCGAATCGACAGACGTTTTCTGAGATGGTAGATCATAGAAAGCTTAGAGGATGGATGCTCAAACATGTGAGAGAATTTTCTTTTAGCAGTGTGGTGCGATCCATCAGCGTGCTGCACGAGACGGTCTTGACCCGCGGCGACGCAACTCGCGCTGCATTTCCATGCGTCTTTGGCTTTGGCCGGCTCGGCTCCGCTTTGGCTCCGCTTTGACTTTGTCCGCCGCGGCCTTCCATGTTCTCCGTCAAATAAAGGCGCGGTCCATCCATCTACCCATCGATCCATCCCCGCATCGGAGTGCGCCGCACGCGACCGCCGCGGGCGTTGTGAATTTTTCATAGCGGCGTGTCCACCGCGGAGGCGGCAGCGCCAGCAGCGCGAACGGCGCGCAGGGAGGCCGCGGCGTCGAGGGAACGAAGTAACGAAGTGCAGGTTTGCACCGGCAGGAAAGCCGCATCCAGTCAAATTGAATGCAATTGGCGCGCCGAGGTGGCTCTGCCGGTGTGCCGGGCCGGGCCGTGCCGCTGATTCCGAACATCCTGTCTCTGTCGCACTCGCGGCGCGGCCCCGCAGGGAGCGAGAGAGACAGCGACTCTCTTCGGCGCGGCTGGGCTATCGGCGGCATCTTATCAGCGGCTACGACACTGTGCTCCCGGTGTTCTAAGTCGGCCGCTCTGTCGCCCCCTGGAGCCCCCCGGGCCCCCTCGGCCGCGCGGTCCTCCGCGCCGCGCTTTCTCCCAAGTAATAATGGAACACTTACATCGAGATGGCGGGCCGATTGGCCAAAGCCGCCGACTTGCGGCACTTGCGCTGACCAGTGTGGTGGCCGGTGGGCTCGCCCGGACGGAGAAACACCGGCAACACCAGGAAGTGGGCGACGGAACGACGAACGCGATCAACGCACGACGCACCGCGCGCGTGGCACTCGGCCGCCAGGCCAGGGCGGCAAGCTTTAAAACTTCGAGAGCATAACGTATCTCGCGGACCGCTAGAAAAAGACTCGAAGTCGCCTCAAAATCCGATTTCTGAAAATCCTGGCTTGTAAGATCATCGCCATTTATACGAGATAGTGGGCTCTACCCCACATTGAGAAGCGCCTTCGTCGCTCTGTCTCTCTCGCACTCTCGGGCGGCCTTGTAGGGGTGCGAGAGAGACAGAGCGACGGGGCACTTGCTCCGATTCAGACAGCTGTCTGGTACATAGGAAGACAACTACACGCCCTGGCCGTTTGAGTGCCGAGGCTCCTATGTATGTGCGTGTGTGTGTTTTTGCGCGTCGCTATTGATGGCCGGGTTCGAATCCCCGCGCCGTCGCGGGCTTTTTATTACCCCTGTGACCCCAGAGCGTGGCCTGCCTGGCCTGCCCGCCCGAGCGGCGCCGCATGATGGCCTCCTGATGGCCCGGATATGCCACCGTGTTGAGTAAGGCGGCGGTGCGGCGGAGTGCCACGCACGCTCTATCGCCCATTGTCTCACTGCCAGTGTACCGCCACCCAGCGCCGCCCGGCGCCGCGCGTGTGTGTACGCGCGCCGGTGCGTGAGTGTGGGTGCACGCGGAAAGTGAGGAGGGTGTAGTTTTTACCTCGAAAGGACCGTTCACTGATAATTTCGCGTTTGTGGTCGGACGTCGGTGGTCCAAGAAGGGGGTGACCAGGGAACGGAAACTACCAGTTAAAGCGGTGGTAGCGCAGTAAAAAGGAATCAATTATAGTTCATGTCCGACTCTACATTGACTTCGTTTGTCAAATAATGTCCGGGAATTGACTTAGATGGGAGTCGAACCTGCGACCCTCGCGCTGTCCTCTGGGCTACGCGGCCCTGCTCCGCCTGGCCCGTGCGTTGAGGTCTCCAATCGGCTGGTGCACGCAGCAAAGTGCCCCGCTCCGGATCCGATCCTCGGGCCTTCGGACTGCCGGCTCGTCTGCCCGGCTACCTGTTCGCACATCATTGTCCGCGCCGTCCGCGCCCAGAGGCTGTCTCTCTCGCACTCACGGGGCGTCCCGCAGGGTGCGAGAGAGACAGAGTTCGGAATCGGTCCGCAGATAAGGCGCGGACAATGCTGCGAACTTGACACGAGTGCTTCCCGGCGGCGGTGCTGGCGGCCTGCACGTGGACCAATCCACTCGTTTGTTATTCAAGACCATTGTTCATCGCACCCCCGAAAAGGCACCGGCACGTAACACGCGCACGCCGCCAGCACGCCGCCAGCACGGCCGATTCCGGGCATCTGTCTCTCTCGCACTCGAAGGGCATCCCGGAGGGACGCACGAGAAAGAGAGAGAGCGACAAAGTCGAAATCAGACTACGACTGCGCTGATACTCTCCGCCGTGGCCGCATGGAACAGTACAAGCGAACTGAAGCGGCTTCGTTCCCGACAACAATG